GAATGTTGCGAATAGCCAATCGAGTCAGACTCAAGTGCAGACTGGGGTTACCCTGCACAAGCTTCTTTCGTTGAGCGGCACTGGCTTGTCGCACTTGCATTTCTGAGGGTGTGAGGAGGTTAAATAGAGGTGAGCTTCGGTCGATCACACCCTCGTTCAGCAGGAAGAGCTTGCGCTTGTCCTTCTCGTTACGCTTGGCGAGGGAGCTGTCAGCGAGGTTGGTTGCCTCTTGCTTGTTGACTGCCTGTGCAACCTGGAGAAGACGTCCGTCGAGTGTGTACTTGCCATCAGGATCAGCACTCTCATCTTGGAGAATAGAGTTCTTGGCAGCTGCAACAGATGGGTCAGGGCGAGGAGCGCCTTTGATGCACTTTTTGGCGTCGTCGACGTCGTAGAAGCAGACGAAACCAGTACCTGCAGGTTTCTCCGTGACCTTGTCCATGACCACTCGGGCATATCGAACCTTGCCAAAATGATCAAAGAAATCTTTGAGTTGCTCATCTGTGGTCGTAAACGGTAGGTTGCGAATGAAGACAGTTGAAGTGTTGTCTGTCATCCTCTTCGGAGCCAGGCTCTGCACCTCCTTCTCAGCCTGCTTGTCGGCTTCATCATCTTCGTCGTCCTCTTCATCATCATCCTCCTCATCCTCGAGGTTCTCCATGTGATTCTTGAAAAAGTTCTTCAGATCAGCATCCAATTGATCATCTCTGTTAACCTCTGCGCCACCCTCCTCTTCATCCTCATCATCGCTTCCCTCTGAAGACGTTTGGTCATCCTCGTCTTCCTCATCATCTTCCTGCTTCTTTTGTGCCTTCTTAGGCTTAGCATTCTCCTCTGGTTGTTGCTTCTCCCAAGTATCCTTGTCAACAGCCCAGTCAACAGCCAGGGTTCTTCCGTCAATCTCCTTGCCGTTGATGGCTTCCAACGCACGTTCGGCGTTCGGTCTTCCCCTGAGGGTAACGAAACCGAATCCTTTGAGCTTACCCTTGTCTTGAGGCAGATCGGCAAACTTGACTTTTCCAAAGCTTCTGAAAAGATGGCTCAATTGTTCTGATGTCTTAATGCTCCAAGGCAGGTTGCGCACAATGAGCTTTGGGGGTCGCTGAAGCTCCTCTTTGCGAACCTTGTGAGCAGGCAATTCGCCGGTGGTGTTGTTTCTTTGTCTTGGCTCAGCAACATCAATGCGGATTCGGCGTCCATTCCAATCTTGGTTGTTCAGAGCTTTCTTGGCCTCTGCAGCGTCCTCAGCGTCGGCCAATGTTACAAAACCGTAACCTCTTGACTCCTTGGTCTTTTGGTCGACAACAACAGTAGCGTGCTTCACTGGGTAATGCTGAGAGAAGAAATCGGTAAGACTTTCGCTCGTGGCACCGGGAGGTAGTGATCGAACGAAGAGCGATCGTCGTTCTTCGACTCGGGCTCTCTTGGAGGCCTTTACTGCTCCATTGTCGCGATCTTCGAAAGAAGCGGGATCGAGCTCCTCTGCCTCAGTATGTGGGCGCTTTCGGTCGTTCTTTGATGCACCCATGTTTACTGTATGGTTGTGCAAAATGGTTATATTTAATAAAGTAGAATAGAATGGCCTTGCGACCAGAGCGAAAAAAAAAGTTCGATAAGGTCTTATCGATGGAAAGTCCTGGGGAGGTACGTACCGCACCTGTCGTTCCGTTAAAGTGGAGCAATTAAGCCCCTCAGTCCCACGCTGCGACTAAGCCGTTAAGGGAATACTGGTAAACAAACAATGCGAAACCTCCTTGGGCAACTATCAACATTGCTCTCTTAACAACAATCAATGGACTAAAGAGACAGACGAAAAATGCCTGCAAGAACTACCGCCCGTTCTTCGAGGACGTCAGCTGCGCGAAGCTCTGCTGCGTCTCATACCTCACCAGTCGCCGAACCAGTTGATACCCCTGACAACGCTCTACGAACCAAAGTATGTGCTGTCTTTCGTGATGCACAGAGAACCACGGCAACACACCGAAAGCTTGTTGTGAATCTACGAAAGATCCAGGAGTCTTGCGCTTACGAGCCAACAAACCCCGACCAATCTCGTGCAGATGAATTCGACGAGGATGCTTTTAATCACGAATTTATACGTTGCGTCAGCAAAATCATGCCAATCAAGAAGTCGGAGAGTGTGGGAGAAAAGTCAATTAAATTCACCGGCCTCTTTCTGCAGCACGCAAGTGCAAAAGACAATGAACTTCTAGGAGAGATCGACCAAGATGCGAGTGTCATGCCAGAGACCCCAAGCACTCGCCTGACCTCACAACTTCTGGAAGCTATTCTTCCTCTTCTGACCGCCAAGGACAAGGTGGTCCGCTTCAGGTCGACACAGCTCATTTCTCACATTATCAACTCGCTCGACGCGATAGACGACGACCTCTTCCAGAAACTGCGCCATGGGCTACTTAAAAGGATCCGCGACAAGGAGGCCATGGTCCGCTCTCAAGCGGTGCTGGGTCTTGGCCGTCTTGCAGGAAACCAGACGGAGGGTTGCACCAACTCAGATGATAGCGACGATGACGATACCGGACTGCTCGAGAAGCTGTTGGAAGTTCTACAGAACGACCCCAATGCTGATGTGCGAAGATCGCTCCTCGTCAACCTTCCCATCTTACCCGAGACTTTGTCAGTCCTTCTTGAGCGCGCGCGTGATCAAGATGCAGCAACTCGAAGAGCCGTTTATTCCAGACTCCTCCCTGCCCTAGGTGATTTCCGCCACTTGTCTGTTAAAATGCGAGAGAAGCTCCTTCGCTGGGGTATTCGTGACAGAGACGAGAACGTCCGAAAAGCTGCAAGCAGACTGTTCCGCGAGCGATGGATTGAGGATTGCGCGGGTGCACCCCCTCAAGAGGATGGCGTACCTGCAGAACCAGCACCTCCCAACTTTGACGGCCTCCTTGAATTGCTAGAGCGAATTGACGTGGTCAATACTGGCGTTGAGAACGGCGTTGCATTAGAGGCCATGAAAGGCTTCTGGGAGGGACGCCCGGACTACCGTGAAACAGTAGAGTTTAATGACAACTTTTGGGAGACCCTATCTGCTGAGTCTGTCTTCATGGCCAGGAGTTTCAATGATTTCTGCCGCCTTGAAGGCGATGGCAAATACCTGAACCTCTTGGAAGAAAAACTCCCTGAGGTCACCAAGCTCGCTTTCTTCTTAGAACGATACCTTCACGTTCTAACTGCTGCCGTTAAGAGGGTAGCAGAGGCAGACGACGAAGATGAAGAAGAAGACACGGTAGAGCAGGAGTTTATTGTTGAACAACTACTCCAAATTGCACTGACCCTCGACTATTCTGACGAAGTTGGACGACGTAAGATGTTCACCCTGCTTCGACAGGCTATTTCGATCCCCGATTTACCAGACGAGGTCACAAAGCTCGCTGTTGAGACACTTCAGAGTATCTGTTCGCCAGATGCTGCCGGAGAGCGAGAATTCATAAGCATTGTCCTAGAGTCAGTGGCAGATGTTCATGACACCATTGTCGACGACCCTCCTGCAGATGATGCAGAAGACAGTTTCCATTCGGCCAGATCAGAGGTTAGCGGTCAGAGCACGCCAACTAAGGGAAGCAAGCGAGGCGGTACCCCTGAACTGAGCGAGGAAGAAGCGCGTGAGAAGGCAGTCAGAGAAATTGTTGTCAACATGAAGTGTTTGCATATCGTTCAGTGCATGCTCACCCATGTGGCGAGCAACCTCCAGGACAATACCGATCTTGTGGCGATGCTGAATAACCTCGTTGTTCCAGCAGTCCGAAGTCACGAGGCACCCGTACGTGAGCGAGGCCTGGTTTGTCTTGGCCTTTGTGCCCTCCTGGATCGCTCACTCGCCGAGGAGAATCTTAGCTTGTTCATGCATTTTTTCACTAAGGGTCACACAGCACTCCAGATCACTGCTCTGCACATTCTCACCGATATTCTCAATGTCCATGGTGCCCAGCTCTTATCGTCAACACCTGGCCTGCTGAAGATTTACGTCAAAGCTGTCAAGGGTGGTGGCAAGTCACCTGAGGTCCAGGCGGCTGCTACTGTTGCTGCCTCAAAGCTGTTGCTTGGTCGTGTCGTCAGTGAGGAGGAAGCCTGCCAGGATCTGCTCAAGTCACTCGTCGTTGCGTACTTTGACCCCTCGTCTGCATCCAACCAGACTGTTCGACAGGCACTCAACTACTTCCTCCCTGTTTTCTGCTTTTCCCGAGACGAGAACCAAAACCTCATGCGGTCCATCGCCCTTGACGCAATCCATGCGCTGTTCAATGTTCGCGAAAGCCTGGAGGATGATGATGTGGATGTTGAGGAGGATATGGTCAGCATGACTACTATCGGAGCTTGCCTCGTCGACTGGACCGATCCCCGAAAATGCTACAGACCTACAAGCCTGCTGGAATCTGACAAGAAGGCGGTCAATGGTGACGTGCATCTTGACTTTGCCATGGATATCCTAGAGAAATTACAAGGCAACATTACAAGTGAGTTAACAACTTGCATTGACAATTACGCATACTGACCCATCTACAGAAGAAGAAAAGAAACTCATCGGCACACTTCTCGGAAAGCTCCACATTTCCCCTGGATCAAGCGAGGAGAAGCTGCGCGAGGCTTACAATGAGGTCAGCATTGCAGTGGAAGAAGGTTTGTTGTCTGATGCCACTAGCCGCAGCGCTCTCTTCAAGCTTCATGTCAGTTTGGGCAAGATCGTGAATGCTCTTGATGAACAACAACCAGCCCACCGACGTACCAGCAGGAGTACCTCTGTGATCACGGATCATCAATCACCTGAGGAAGAGAAGACGGTCATGGAGGAGCCAAGCATCAAGGAGGAGGATGAAGAAAGTGATGGCACTGTGGTTCCTAAGGAGGAAAAGGATGAACGAGAATCTCTTGTGGACGACTTCTTGTCAGATGGTGAGGATGTAGAGATGACAGACGTGTAAGAGACAAAGATTGATGAAGTAATGACATGGGACCTGATGATTTGGTGTATCGTGATGGTTGGACGGATACCTTGGGTTCAATTATGGGAGGGATCTTGGTTTTGGCGACGTGTTCTTGATTTACTATTGTTTCCAATTATGGTGTGCTTATTCCATGAATTCCTGGTTAGATACAAGGAGTCATGTTTACACAAAGTTCTCAGATATTCATACATGAAGATACCCATCACTGAGAAGCTAAATGATGCTAGTTACGCGACCCCAACCAAAATAGGAGACCACCAAAGCCAATGTTGATCAGCAAGTGTTGACCGAGACTCCAAGCCATACAGTAGAGATACTTGGGTGAGAAAACTGTCCAAATAAACAGATGAGTTCGCAGTGATGTGCAAGCCGCCATGACTAATGCAACTGTCGCAGAGACAAAGACAGTCTGCAAAGTAATGTATTGCCAGAAGGCATTGCGCTGACCGTCGTGGTACTTGCGCAGTAGGAGAAGGTTGGCGGCGGATGTCCAGAAGATTGGCCCAGCCCAGTTGCTGACCAAGGTAAGAAAACCAACGGCAAAGAAGTTGAAGCCACTGATACCGTTGTATGCGCTGGAAAGATCGACGGAGGAGATGGCATTTGAGCCACCAAAGGCGAAGAATGTTGTGTATTGAAGAAGAATAGCTGTGATGGTGATTCCAGTTACGGAGAGATCGGTGGCTTGGAGTGTGTGGAAGAGGATATCAGATAGTAGAAAGAGGGGAATATTTGTAGCACGAGACTGGATTACGCCAAAGATGGTATAGAGATGATGGAAAAGATATGCTGTAATGTGTCAGTGGCCATAGTATAGATATGGTGAATGAGAGACGTTACCTGACTGTAACTGGCCATTTCGACCGCCAGTGAACGACCGATAGATGCCATACCCAAACAAGACGCCGAGAAGAATAAAGGCAGTCCTGGCCCTCCAAAGCAATGACTGTCCCACGAACATGTCGTTCAAGCTCCTAGCGAAGCCAACAACGAGCTCCGGGGCATCCTCGCTCGTGAAGTCAAGCTTGAAGCTATACGCAGACATGAGCAGAATTGAGGTAGTGCTTGTGCTAGCCAGAGAAGGGAGACTCTTGAGACGGGCAAGCAAGCGGAATGACATGAGAATGTATCCAAAAGTGATAATAGCCCAGAGAAGTTGAGGGTGCGTGACGATGAAGCTCTTCACGATGTCAGGACTTCCTGCAAACTTCTGGCCAGTTTGATTCCAGCCCCTGGTGAGTCTCAAAGCTACAAGTGCAACGAAGACCCAAGCGATGTCGGCAAGGCTGTTTCTCCTAGTATCTTGGTTAGTATGAGAAGGCAATTCTGTACTCGACTATCACATACCTTCGGATATGAAGCACTCCTTGTATTACAAGCCAAATGCTAGAGGACCAGTACCAAAAGTGCTGTTCCTCTTCAACATAACTACTCGCATACATCATGGCACCGTAAGATAATGTCATGAGGCTGAATGGAAGAATTTGTCCATCTCGATGAGTCCCAAGACTGACAAGAACAACTGTGCTTGCAGTAGCAGCAACAGCAGCGATCGCTTGGCCAATGTAAAGCTTGGACATGTCGTAGTTTGAAGCCATGCTGCTCATGAGATCTTGGGCTCGGCGGAGCCACTGTGACATGTCATCAAGCCACTTTTGGTCCAGCTTGTTACCAGCTGCGAGCACATGTGCCTCCTTGTTGATCCTTCGCCATTGACATGCCAGTTCGTTGATTTCGGTCTGCTCAAGGGCACAGGGGTCAACGCTACTCTGTGCGTCAAAGAGCTCACTTCCAAACGCGGCTGTGATAATGTTGAGGATTTGTCTAGCATTTCGAACTAAAATCTGAATCTGATCACTGGTCTTGTGCCAGAAGGGGAGGAAATCAGGGATGAAGGCTCCCAGGTTGTTCTTGGATACCGGGAAACCCAAAAGGGCGGCAATAGTAGGTGCCAGGTCAGATTGCTCGACCATGGAGTAGTAATCAAACTCATCCTTGGGTTGAGCTGGGGCAGGGAGCCTACGGGAGACCTTCTTCAGCCTTGGAGACATGAAAACCAAGGCGGGTGAGGTTTCGCCGGGTGAAGAAGCACCATGGTTACCAGCATCATTCATGCCATGATCACCGCAAAGGACGAGGAGTGTCGAGTCCAAATGAGGCTTGGACTCCATAGCTTCGAAAAGAGTCTTGACAATACCGTCCATTTCGCGCTGCTTGGGAAACATATTCGAGCTTTTGACGTGTTAGTGAAATGATAAGAGAAACAACCGCCAGTGAAACAAACCTTTTTGGTCCAGCCTTATGCCCGATATGATCTAGACCAAGATAATGAAGCACCATAAGGCCCCAATCATTGTTCTCAAGTTCAGGGGCAATGTTTCTGGTGACATTGTTGTCAACCTCGGTGAAGTCCTAGTAAGATGTCAGTCGGGTTGAACATGAGAATAATGTGTTAAGTCACAAACCGCCACAAAGAAGCTGGAGGTTCCATCTTCGCGATCGAAAGTGTTGGGAAACAACTTCAGCCAAGTGTCATCTCCGTACATGAGAAGCTTGCCCATTTGCTTGGCTTTAATCTGAGCTAACCAAGTATCTTGAGAAGCGAGTGTTGACGAAGTATCTGCCTCGTCAAAGTTCAAAATAAGATCAACAAACGAAGGGATTGAACCGGTTGTCATGGACTTGATTCTCGGCATAGTAACTGTGGGTGATCGAGCATTGGCTGTAAAAGGCATTGCGCTGCCATCTCGGATGAGACTGGAATGTGATAAGCACAGGCATTGATGAGATGAAATACAATTGATATGTGATACCTTTGAACATAATCAAATCCCGAGGCGTCCGAGTATACAAAGTCGCTACAAGAAGTGTCAATTGAGAGTTTAGAGTGAAATAATTGGGTTTCATTAAAGCTCTACCTTCTGAGGGCATCGACAACCATAAATATTAAACGATCAAATGGTGCATCAGGAGGCGATCCAAAGTCAAGAGACTCGAATTCAGCCAATCCAGGAAGGAACGGTTTATAAGGGAAGAAGCCCAGCGCAAAGACGACAATTGAGACCGGGATTAGAAGATTGGCTGCGACGAGCAACAGAGTGCGCAATGGCGAACCATTATGAGAGGACACCATTATAAAAGACAATTATAGAATAGAACAAAGGAGGGACTAAGACGAGGTTGAAAATCGTATTTATACAGAGAATAACACGTCAATAATGCGCCATCATTATATGGAACAGTTAAAAATGTGTCACCTGTAGAAGTGATGGACGTGTCGAGATGAGCGCGACAACCTATACGATAGCCTTGCCAAGACGGACCAAAGAGGTGGTGGTTGAAGTTAGTAGTGTGATTGGCTGCTCAACTCAAATTGCATGTTGAGCCACACAAGGCTGAGGGGCAAATCTAGATGGAAATTTCGGGTATCACAGATTCAGATTGATTTAGATTGTGCTGCTAAACGCCGATGAATGGATAAAAAACCCCAGAATAAAGACCAGAAAACAATTTTACCCCAAGTTCAATTAAGAGCTCTTCTTCTTGCCCTTGGATCGACCACCGTAAGACTTGAAGACAATCTTGGAAGCCTTTTGCTTGCGCTTGTCGACTCGCTTCTTCTCAATGCGACCACTTGAAGGCTTCTTTGAGTCCACATCCATTGCTAGACATGTTAGTGAAAATGAGCGAGACAGACGTTTTTGACCAAACTCACATGTAACTTCATTGTCTTGAACATCCTCCTTGGCATCGTCGTTGGCGCCCTCTTCTTGTGCTGAGAATATGTTAGCGCTTAATCGTCTTGAGGTTGTACCATCTCACTCACTGTTCATGTTCACATCTGAAGACTCAGGCTTGGGCTGCTTGGCCAACTCAAGGAGCTTAGCAGAGAGACGCTCATTTCGAGCAGCCTCGGCGGGACCAAAAACATTTTTAACAAGGCGCCTGTTGTTGGCCTTTCTGGTGCTTGCTCGTGCGCTCTTTGCCATTTTGTCGATATGGTTGAAGATCGATGCTTGAGTAAAAGTCGTTATCAAAGTCCCCTGCTGCTAAGAAAAAAAAAGTTGGGACAAGCTACCGAGGGGGGCAGTAGTGAGTTTAACTGTGGCGGTGTGTGGCTAGTAAGCAAAGATCATCGAGACACTGGATCCTAGTCCACTCCCTGCGTGTGCCAGGGATGACCGCCTTCTCTTCTTGGACTCCTGTGCGACAACACTCTAAAGACTGGGCAAACATGACATAGCGTGAGAGGACGACGACGAGTTTAGAGCACGCGTGGTGGTTGAGATAGTCGATCGAATCTCATATTCAGTGTCAGAGTGGAGGGTTCATTATATAATCCGATTGTACATTTGTCTTCTAGATGTAACTTTTATCGCTTCCATTCACTCAGCCACTCGCTCGCACTCTTTCTCACGGTACCTCTTTCCGATTCATTCTGATACAACCAATACAGGCTGCACCCGATCAGCCTGCGCATCTGCCTTGGATGCCGTTGCGCGACTTCCACAACCACTGTTCGCGCCCAACACTGGCAGCACCTTCCTCCACACATAATCTCCCTCGATAACGATAACGACACCTTCCTCGGCCCAAAAACGCAAACATTAGCGACCGATAAACGGAAGGAACGACCCTCGACATGGCTTCCGCAGGTTTTGGGTCCGCTACGGCCTCACCCTCGCACTCAACAAATGCACACGCAAATCTTCGATCAGAAGCGAGTTCTCTTGCGCGACAAGTCAACCGCTTGTTAAATCGCCAACTCTCTTCTGTGTGTCAGGTTAACGGAGTCAAAAGCACTGGCATCAAGGCTGAGCTACAGCGTCGCATACATAATCGTAAGTTTAGGGCCTGCTCATACACAATTCACTCTTGTTTTCATCTGCACTGCGCGATGGCTTCACATCTCTTTCGCATGCTTATTCGGCCGTGAATCACTGCTTCAAACTCCTCAGTGTCATAGCTAATCATGCCTGCTTCGCCACCAGTCATCCAAGAAGCCGTCAACGCCAACGATCCCGTGCGCCTGCAGCAGATTCGCCAGAGTGTGCACAATTCGATCTCGAGCTCTCAGGCCGGATCTTCGCCCTCTCGATCGAGCTTCCCGATTTCACATGGTCATGCTTCCTCAACACCTTTCGGGTTGCACAGCATGTCGTTCCCTAGCACCCACAGCAGCCTGTCTAATGGTCAGCGCTCTGTGGTTAACTTCAGCTCGTCAGTGACACTCACCTTCAAACCGAGTCCGTTTTATCAGATCGAGGCGGTTGCTGGTGATATAAAGACCTGCGATGGTATGTTTTGCGCGTCGTTCTGTGTACCTTGTCCGACTTGTTATACTAACACCCCTGTCAAGTCATGTCGCAGCACCGTAACACGATAACCTATCCCATCAGACTAGACGATCATCCTGCTTTACAGAAGTGCGTTAACGACCCTTCGTACCGAGTGATGGTCTTTTGCGCCGGAGATACTTCAGGAATGCAAGATGTCGCATTTCCTCACCAGTCAGAACTCAAGGTCAACGGCGGAGAGGTCAAGGCCAATTTGCGCGGCTTGAAGAACAAACCTGGATCTACTAGGCCGGTTGACATCACAAAAGCGCTTCGTCTTCGCCCGAAATACACCAACAACATTGAGTTCACATATGCGCTGACATCCAAGGTGAGCACTGTGGACAAGCGTTGTTACAATCATAGTCTGACAGCGAATCTAGAATTTCTACCTTGTGATACATGTTTGCAAGATAACATCTGTCGAACAGCTTGCGGAGCGCATTGCCAATGGCAAGAAGATATCGATTGATTCTGTAAAGCAAGAACGTACGTGCCACCACTGGTCCAATGCTCCAGAGCTATCACTGACATGCAATTAGTCAACGCCAAAGCACAAGATCCGGATGTGGTAGCAACTTCACAGGTGCTATCTCTCAAATGCCCATTGTCATACATGCGATTAGCACTCCCTTGTCGTGGGTTGAGCTGCACACACTTGCAATGCTTTGATGCCACTTCTTATCTTCAGCTGCAAGAACAAGGCCCTCAATGGCAATGTCCCATTTGCAACAAGTCCGCAACTTTTGAGCAGTTGGCTGTCGATGCGTAAGTCTTATAAGTAGTGATTTTGAAGGGGTTTGCTTTTCTAACCTCTAGCAGATATGTCAAAGACATCCTTGAAAAGACCCCAAAGAGTCAGGAAACTGTGACCATCGAGCCCAATGGTGAATGGCATCTCAAGAGCATTGACGACAGCAGTCAAGGGCACACAAATGGCAACTCATCGTACGCAAATGCCTTTGATGATGACGATGACGATCTAGTAATATCAGAGGTCAATTCTATTGGTCACCGTCGTTTAGAGACGCCCAAAATCTCTACACCGACCATTAGTACGCCAGTAACAGCAGGTCGCGATGTGTCGTCTTCTGCTGGACCGAGGGGCATAGCATCTACCAGCGCGAAGCGCCCAATGGCCACTGTCATCGACCTAACGTTATCTGACGATGATGATGATCTGCCTCCGCCCCCCAAAAGGCAAAACACCTCGATGAACGGATACTCAGGCAACCTACCTAGCAACTCTCCAATCTCGCCAGGTGATCTCGGGTATCTTTAGGGGGATGCTCGTCCTCAGGGACGCAAGAAACATAAACGGAATTGTAAGACTCTTTAAAAAGAGTATATGGTGGCAGTGAAATATGCCCTAGGGGGGCAGGCTATATAACTGCTTGGTACTAGGGGTGTTGGTTGATGACTTTTACTTTGGCATGTTCTGATCCGGCGTTGGAGGAGACGGAAAATGATTCCCCTGCTAATTACCGGCATTGCTATCACGGTTGTTTTTCGCGAGGTGTAAGGGAGTATATAAAAGAAAGGGGATCAGTCATTCAGGGGGTACTTACTTTACGAGATAGGGTCCAGTCTCAAACATAACAGGATGCAATGAAAAGACAAGTAACCTCTTCCACATGTTCTCATTCCAAATAGGGACGTCATGGAAAGCAAAGAATACAAAGTCTGACGATTGTACATGTCGCGAACCAATGTTGTGACGATGAAGTCACATGGTCAATTGCAAAATATTTTCACAGAAAAACGCGAGTATCAGAAACGCACAAATCATTTTTCATTCATGTGTATAGGCTTCAAAGAGAAATATCATCTCGAGGATGCCTTCTATCTCGCCCTCAAATCATCACATTCAGCCCTGATTTTAAACCAAATTCCTATCCCATCATGACCCAATTGACTCCATAAATCACACATACTTTTTTCTTATCGCTTTATCCAATTATGCTCCAATGTCCTTTCTCTTGCTAGGCACCGCGGTCTCAGCCTTCCACGAGTCAACGTTGTGGATCAAGCAAGCCTCGCCTTGGTCACGGCGGGTGAGACGACCGATGCGGTACACCTTCTCACCAGCATCGGTAAGAGCCTGAGCCACGCTGTCGGCCTTTGCAGGGTCAACAGCAATGACCATACCGACACCTGAGTTGAAGGTGCGGCACATCTCGATGGGCTCGACGTTGCCAGCCTCGCGCATCCACTTGAATACAGGAGGGATCTCCCATGAGCCGAACTCGATCTCAGCAGCGAGAGACTCGGGGATCATACGGGGAACGTTCTCGACAAGACCGCCACCGGTGATGTGAGCAAGACCCTTGATGTGAGAGAGGACGGGCAGAAGAGACTTGACGTAGATTCGTGTGGGAGTGAGAAGGGACTCGCCAACACTGGTGGACTGGTCCCAAGGAGCAGGGTCAGTGTAGCTGAGGCCAGCGCGAGAGACAATACGGCGAGCCAGGGAGAAACCGTTGGAGTGAACACCAGCAGAGCCGAGACCGAGGAGGACATCATCTTGAGCCATGTCATCCTTGCGAGGAAGCTTGATATCGGCAGTAACGGTACCGACAGCGCAACCAGCAGCGTCGTAGTCATCGTTCTGGTACATACCAGGCATCTCAGCAGTCTCACCGCCAACAAGGGCACAGCCTGCTTGTCGGCAACCATCAGCAACGCCCTGAACGAAGTCGGCAGCAGTAGAGAGATCCAACTTGCTGCAGCCGTAGTAATCGAGGAACATAACAGGGGTAGCACCCTGAACAACGAGATCGTTGACGTTCATGGCAACCAGATCGATACCAACTGTGTCGTGCTTCTTCATTGCCTGGGCAATCATGAGCTTGGTGCCAACACCGTCAATAGCACCAACGATAATGGGAGCTTGAGGGTAGCCAGCTTGAGACAGATCAACCTCGCCACCAAAGCCACCAATCTCAGCATCAGCACCAGGTCGCTTGGTGCTGGCAACAGCCTTCTTGATCTTCTCGACAAAGTCGTTGCCGGCTTGAATATCGACACCAGCCTGGGCATATGTCATGGAGGTCTGAGCAGTTGAGCGAAAAGCTCGGTGAGCGATATCCTTTCGGTAGAAAGCACCCTCGAACTCAATGACCTTCTTGTCAAGAGCGACATAAGCAGCATCAACAGCAGCTCGGAGAGAGTCGCCAACAGCATTGATAGCAATGACACGACCACCAGAAGTCTTGAGACCAGTGCTGTCGAGTGTGGTACCAGCGTGGAAGATGTTGCAGCCAGCGGGAGGCGTCTGGACAGACATAGCCTTACCCTTGGGGTAAGAACCGGGGTAACCACCGGAAGCAAGGACAACGGTGGCGCTGAACTTGTTCTCAATGGTAAGCTTGCAGTTGTCGAGGTAGCCGTTGGCACAAGCAAGCATGATCTCAGCCAAATCAGTATCGGCAGAGAGAAGAGGAAGGACGGTTTGTGTTTCAGGGTCACCGAATCGGACGTTGTACTCAAGGACCTTAGGTCCCTTGCTGGTGATCATGAGACCAGTGAAGAGAACACCACGGAAAGGCTGCTGCTCTCGTCGCATACCGGAGATAGTGGGCTCGAGAATCTCACGGTCGATGAGCTCAGTAAGCTCCTTGGTAGCAATGTTTGTAGGCGCATAGCATCCCATGCCACCAGTGTTAGGGCCCTGGTCTCCATCGAAGATGCGCTTGTGGTCCTGAGCGAGAGGCAGAGATCGGATAGCGTAGCCGTCGCAGAAAGTCAGAACACTGAGCTCATCACCAATGAGAAGCTCTTCTATAACAACCTCGTCGCCAGCGTCGCCGAACTCCTTGTCAACCATAATTTGCTTCAAAGCAGCCTTGGCCTCCTCCTTGGTCTGGGGAAGGATAACACCCTTTCCAGCAGCGAGACCAGTGGCCTTGATAACGACGTCATGGTCGACGCTATCGATGTATGCAACGGCCTTGTTGTAGTCGGAGAAGTTCTCATAAGCGGCAGTAGGAACATTGTACTTCTTCATGAAATCCTTGGAGTAGGTCTTGCTGCCCTCAAGTCGCGCAGCTTCCTTGGAGGGACCGAAGCAGGGAATGCCAGCCTTTCGGAACCATCCCTCAACACCGTCAACGAGAGGAGCCTCAGGGCCAGGAACAACAAGGTTGACGCCGTTCTCCTGAGAAAACTTGACAAGACCAGCGAAATCCTCAGCCTTGACTGAAGAAACATTTGAGGTCTTGGGGCATCCAGCAGTTCCTCCGTTACCGGGGACAGCAAAGATCTGCTCCACTCGAGAAGACTGGCTGAGCTTCCAAGCTAGAGCATGCTCACGGCCGCCGTTGCCGATGAGCAGAATTCGAAGGTCCGCCATGTCGGTTCGTGAGAATATGTGCGAGGAGAAGAATCGATACGAATGCGATTCCGAGATTCGGCGGGGAGAATCGGTCCAGAGGTTCTCGACTCAAGGTCTTTGTAGATGCTAAGAGAGCAAATAGTCAGTATCTCATATAGACACTTGAATTCCGAATGTCACTTACTTTAATTGATTCCTTTGAGAGGAACCAGCTCTGTAAAGAGACAAAAGTTGGTGGTGGACTGAACTAGAATCGAACTGACTCTGCACCTACACTAAACTTTTTCTAACTTTTCATCCTGCCCCGCGCTCTTCGCTCTTTCCCTCCATTGAGCCCCGCGTTGCATGGACCCTCCAGCCTTTCATTATGGCTTATCGTTATCTACATTGCTGATTCAGCGAGCTTGAAGCTCCAATCCAACCAGGAGGCTTCGGTGAGCTTAGAAGTACGTATCCCTTTGGGTTCGACGCAAACGACGTCCTTCATTTACCACGCGCACGAATAGTGAATTCGTTTTCCAGATCACATATAGCTTCCGCTCATTCTCTGATATAGTTGATCTTAAGTGAAATCTTCAAAGTCGGCCATCATGTCTTTCGAACCCGTCATGCCTCCCTTTAACTCGAGCGATCCATCCGCCAACTTCCTCAGCTCCTCCTGTCTCGACTTTCTCCTTATTGAGCTCGTTCCTATGGCCTACCGCGTAACTCATGAGCGAGATTCCATCGCATCAGAATCAAATGGCGCACCCGCAGATACCGCCTCAACTAGCCATGCAGTAAGCTCCAGCGCAGCCGGAATAATGGCTGGTACCGCGACAAGGAAGGACGAGGAAGAGGATATGGACGCAGTGCACTATCGCCTTGAGATGTTGGGGTACAGAGTAGGGCAGGGTCTCGTAGAGAGGTGCGCATCGATGTCTGGAGTTCTCTACGCCGTCATGACTTACATCGTAACAGATTCTCAAGAGACCGACCACGGTTCAACGACACACTCGACGTCATCAAATTCCTCTGCAAAGATCTTTGGACGCTGGTGTTTGGCAAGAATATTGACAATCTGAAGACAAATCACAGAGTCCGTTTTCTTTCTCTGTGCGGTACGAGAACATTACGCTAATATTGAGCCAGGGAGTCTACGTATTGACCGACAACCTATTCCGACCCTTCTCGCGCATGAGCACAGAAGCTGGCGGCCAAGCAATCGTTCGCGCACAACCGGTATGGTCCCAAAAAGCCCCGATCTCTCCGTATAATATGTTCTTATATTGACTTGCTACACCCCGCAGTTCTTGTGGTTCCCATGCGGTGTTGTACGGGGTGCATTGGCTGCCCTTGGAATCAATACCAGTGTCCAAGCTGAAATCAACGAGTTGCCGGGTGCCGTGTTTCAGATTAAAACCATACCAAACAAGCCCTGAAGGATTTGTCTGTCTAGCTATAATACCATGATACCCTTCTACCAAGCCTGGGCACAGCACGCCAAACATCCGACCAACGAGTGCCATGAACGCGCAAGAGCTAAATTTCGCCATGGTTTAGACCAATCCTTGACCAAAACTCCAATCATACCTGCAGCAGTCCCCAAGATTCATCAATATCGGGGCTATAAAGACATCGACCGTAAATCATCGCCCGGAACATTTCACAGCCTGCGCAAAGTCATATCATCAGCAATCGTGCTCATGACTCATATTACTATGTCTAGTGCCATAGCTATGGGCCTCCTCAGGAGTGTCCTTGCCTGCTCTGGAAGCCTCTTACTGGGTATTAGGGAAGATATCAAATAGGGGGTATTCACTTTTGGGGAGGGTTGTGGACAAAGCTGACACCCTTGGAGATGTTGCCCTTGAGGCCCTCGGTGGCCTTGGCCAGAAGAGCCTTCTCCTTCTCGGTAATGCCCTCCAGTGGGTTGGTGGCCTTCTCGGCACCGTTGGGCTATGTAATATTAGCACATATCCCATCTAGAAACGAAACAATCTGCTACTTACGCCGAGCTCAATGGGAACAGAGAAGAAGTCGGTGCCAGTCTCCTTAGCGATGGCCTCACCTCCAGGGATACCACCTCCAGAGACTCCGGGAAGGTAGACGTAGCTAGGCTCGACGAGTCCCTTCTCGCCCTTTACGGCACGGAGAACCTTCTCGGCGAATCTACAGCCATGTTAGTCACTGGGTGAAGCAACGTGAAGTGGTCAGGCAACCGACCGGAAACCAGCGTAAGCCATTGACAGAGTGGCGCTGCCAGCACCATCCTTGGCCTTGACGACCTCGTCACCGCCGAACTGGACGCGGTTCACGAGAGCATCGTACTTGTCCTCAGGGATCTGAACGGCAGGCGAGGCCTTGCTGAAAAGAGGGACGATGGTTTCTCCAGAGTGACCACCAATGACGGGGATGGTCAGCTCTTGGGGGTTAGCCCTGCCAGTGATCTCGGCAACGAAGGTCTCGGCACGGACGATGTCGAGGGTGGTGACACCAAAGAGACGCTGGGGGTTGAAGACGCCCTTGGCCTTGAGGACCTCAGCAGCGATAGGGACGGTAGAGTTGACGGGGTTGGAGATGACGAGGATGAAGGCCTTGGGGGCGACCTCGGCGGCAACCTCGATGAGACCCTTCACAATGCCAGCATTGATGTTGAAGAGATCGTCACGAGTCATACCAGGCTTGCCTGTGCGGGGGATGTGGTCAGTAGAGTAAAAACTGGGGAAGGGGCTCCGGGGTCGGTCGGACACGCGGGGACCAACGCCGGATGTCCGGGGTAAGAGCTTTACATACGGGGAATGCCAGCGGGGATGACAATAATGTCGGCGTCCTTGAAAGCAGCCTTAGCGCCATCGTTGGCGGGAAGGTAGCCAGTTGTCTTCTGCAGAGGGTGTGAGCAAATAGTGTGTTTCGGTGGAAGGGAATTATGCATGTTCGACTGGGGAAAATCCGGGGTCGACTCACGGCGCGGGAGGAGATGTGGGAGAGATCGGTGGCAACGCCGGGGGTGTTGACGACATCGTAAAGAGCGAGCTCGTCGATATGAGGGGATGTCTTAAGGAGAAGAGAAAGAGGCTGTATATCGATCAATGTTAGTTGGTGCAATTTCAAGATTTGAGTGAGCAAGTTTCAACGTACCTGACCAATGCCACCAGAGGCGCCAGCGACAACTATACAAAACGTCAATTATTGCTCTGAGAAGTGCTGAGAGACAACATCACGGTGTGAAGAGCGCGAATATCATAGGCAGACATCAAGGTGAAGGGGTGAGTGAGACGGCGCTCGTACGTACCAGCCTTGACCATTTTGACTGATTTTACAAGTATATTGGGATTGAGGGAGGGGTAGTTGCTCTGTTGAGACTTTGCAAAAAAGAGAAAAGATGGTAATGGACGAAGAGCTTGGATGGAAGAGTCAAGATGTGGGAAGAATGAGGAGAGTGGGAGGAGGGTCAAGAAGTGGGAGAGGGTTCAAATAAGTAATGTAGAGGAAGAGCCTCGAGGGTGGTTAATGCGACACGACGGAGGAGAACAAGCGATGACTGGGCTGCTACTGGTAAAGGTACACTGCGGCAACCACCACGGCGATACCTGCCGTACTCTACTAAGGTGAGTTAGTTCCAGATACAGCTCTCCATACAGTAGGTACGCCTCTCCATACGGGTACCCTTCAGGCCGCTGAGACACTCCCGACGTATTCTAATGGATATAGTCCCCTTGCTAAGGCATCATAGCACTGCTCTATTACATTACTACAGTGCCCGAGTTATTCTCTCCGAGCTGACCGGGAACCTTTACGGCGATTCACGGAGCTGGGCTGGGCTGGCAAATTTACATGTCCGAGATTATCACAGGCGTCTATATTTCCCTCCATCTTTTCTGCCGCAGACATGTGCGACAGCCTAGGTGCCAGATGTCGAGCGGGGAAAGCAGCAGAAAAGAGCTGTGCAACTTTATGAGAGCTCTAGTGGGGGGTTCCAGTTCCATGCACGCTCAAGGAAACCCCTCCTTGCAAGGGTCAATGGCTATCATCGACAATTGAGGGGCATCATCCACAGCCCAGAACCCACTGCCCATTGCCAGGCCTATTGAACAGTCGAACCAAGAGGAGCGGCATCATCATCTCGCCTCTCTTTCGCCAGCTCTTGATTGCATATTACCATCTATCACGAGTTTGCATTTCGAATAATTACGTTACTGTCCTGACAGCACCCACAGTTTCGGAGGACTTTGATGGTTGCGGGAGGGGCTTTTGCTAAACTCATGATATTATCTCGGACTACCTAGGTATCTTACATGCCTCCACCATCATGGATTTCTTCTTTCCCTTCACCCATTGATGTTTCTCCCCTCTCGCCCGCCCACTTTGATTCGCAATGGCGATCCGCTCCAGTTGTCGGAGACCTGGCGCAATACTTGGCGCAAAGCCTTGCCCTGAGACTGGTGCGCAAGCGCCCCTGTGCTGCTTTCCTTTCTCTTTTTGGGGTCCTACGGATAGACTATAAATTCTGATGGAGAACGACGTACGATAGCAACGGAGCAACGGACAAGCCCTGACCACTTCACGCATCAGATTCCCCATCGCCCGCTACATTCGATTGGGTCTTATACCAATCAACATTGACGAGAGATCAATCTTGTCTTGACAGACTATGCTAACGATCGCGGACCTGAGTCTGGTTCGCTTCTGGAACCTGAACCCTCACATCCAGCGTCCCGTGGGGAAGGCTGTCAAGGGACCGATATTCCCCTGCACCTCTAACTCGACAGCTCTGGACAACTCACCAGGCCTGACCGTCGCAACCCCGAGTTGGGTGCGATCTTTACCCCGACCCAACTCCGGTGAGCACACCAGATCCAAACTCAATTGCCCAACCAAGCTCCACGAGGACAATCAAACAAGTCGCTCATGTGAAAGTGTTGGTAATCCTATCGTGTAAAACCCTCCTTGTGTATTACTCGCTATGTTTCTTCCCTTACTGGGTCTTTAACTTATAAGTGGACAATGCCCTCTCGTTACAAGAATTCACTGTTTGCAGAATATCAACAAACTAGATGTTCAAGCCACCAAGATGAGGGGGCGGCTGATCTCTCCCCGTTACCAAATTTGGAAATTTCGCAATGCATCTCTGCAACCTTGGTGGTTGGTTGTTATTAGCTCACTTTGAGTATGAGCCAAGTCATTTGAAACATCATCACGATTCTTCATTGATATCTTGTCAAACAAGTTTCGTCTTTTTCCGATACTTCCGTGGATGGTAGCCTCCAGCATCCGGATGTTGATATGCCTCATATCGTATGGCAGCCGGATATTTGTCGTTCAGAAACTGACTTCTGTGGATGACTTGCGTCTATTGCACCAACCATGTTTCATGCCCTTCACCTCGGTCAGCGTCTGGAGATTGACATGCGTCTAACTCAAGAAAACTAATTCCGGATTGTGGCTACATGAGGTCTTGAGCATCAAAACATTCCGACATATGATCTTATTGTTCAAAATATTGCTCCGAACTTATCCGGGACAGTGACGTCTTGAATCGCATTCATGAGGATCCTCGGCGCCTTGACACTCGGCATGATCCTCGGTATCCCGTGGTACCGAAGTCATGACCCGAATTCTACCGCTTCGCACTTATACATCCAGACAACATCGTGAGCCTCCACCGATGATCAGAGAACTGGTTAGTGCAGACTTTGTCCAGGCCGGCCATGTCAATCATGCATTTAATTATTGGCCGAGACTCTTATTGTGCTACGTCACTGAAGGTACATCGAAGAGTAGTTGAGCCTCAATGGTTGTTGACATGACCTGCATCGTACAATCACGAACATACACTTTCTTGTTCTGAGACACAAATTTTGGGTTGCCGACGATATTGTCAGCGAGATATTCATTCATTTTGAGCTCACTAACTCCGGCAGTGAATGACCCAGAGACCTCGGTTCATGTGCTATTCCCACACTGATCCCTTTTTCATCAGTTGTGGGCTATGCAGCTTGCCTCCATAGCTTCATGCCCCAGCCTTATTCACAATACATTTCTATCTTGGTATTAGACAGCTTAGTTCTCCTCAGCGGCGGCGGCGGCCTTCTTGGCCTTGTTGCCACGGAGCTTCTGCTCGGGCTCGGGCTTGACGGGCTTGTTGGACTTCTTGAGGGCGGAGGCACGCTCAACGGCAGCGGAGCGGAGGTCAGCACGGTAACCGTTCTTGGCAGCCTGGTTGGCAACAGCCTGGTAGGTCCTGTACGAAAGAATCACGGTCAGCCCCGTTCCACAAACGCTCCATGTCGAATAACAACGACGGTGTGGGCAGTCGATTACTCACTTGCGGTTGCTCTTGGATCCGCTGTAAGAGGTCTTGACAAGGTTCTGGGCGGGCTTGTTGGGCTGAGCCTTCTTGGAGGTGACAACAATAGCACCCTTCTCGCCAGAGGAGATACCGAGGGCCTGTTAATTCGGTTTGTTTAGCATCGTACGTTCATCGAGTCGAGACGTCTTCATCGGGGCTGTTGTGGTCGTACCTTGTCGTTGACGAAACCAGCGTGCTGTGAGGTGAGTTAGCGCACACGATCTACCATGACCCCTCAAATATCCAAGAGGGTATCAAAACTCGGGAACAGAATCATACCTTGCGAGAAGTCTTGTTGGTCAGGTTAAGGGGGTCTCGGGAGAACTGAACACCGCCGTTCTTCTTGCTCTTGGCGGAGAAGCAGTTGTTGTCACCTGCGCGATCGCAAAAACGTTTCAGTAATTGACTTCTTCAATATCAAGGCGCATATCGTAGGCCAAAATTCATATCATATCAGATGAGAAATTTGTCGAAGGGAGACTCACGGACGATCTCCCAGATCAGGTCCGAGGAAATGTTGGAGAGCTCCTGGGCGGTAGACATTGTGAATGGAGGTTTTGGCGTGAAAATTGACCGGGGAGAGTGAAGCTTGAGGTTGTCGTCGTCGAGATATCCAGTTCCAAAGACTATTCACCAAAGTCGGCTCGAGAATTGTGCGTAGAGAAATTATGGGGCTCGCCTAGCATGCCAAACAGGGCTAGACACCCATGCTGACTTTACTGGACCAAAGGGGCCGACGGGAGCATCAAAAGACTGGGCCAGAGTGTCAGTGGGTTCATTGGAACAGAGTTGAGAGGCGAATGGTTGATACGACCGACCCCTGATGTCATAAAATAAGACATTCAAAGCTCATTCCTATTATAAGAGAGCACATTGCTCGGTTCAGTGATTGAAATCTATATTACAGCATATGGTATGCCTCTATCTCTCAATAAACTACTTCAGAACCAACTTGCGTGTCCTTGTTCCTGTAGCGGCTGTGCCAAGCCATAAACGCGTGGCTTAATTGATTGGGAGAGGGAGCCCGAGGCCTCGCAAACAGAGTCACGTCAGCACTTTCATTCCTGAGACAAAGGGAAGGAGGCTCGTCTTTCACTTTTATTGCTGGACTTCCACTTGCACTTATTCAAATCCGGACCTTGCTTTGCTTTGCGGAGGGCGAGAAATATCAACCACGATTAATAAACTCTGCACTTGCGACTTTTCATAGTCCGTCTTTTACCAGAGACGGGCTATTTATCATGCAACTTTGAAATTCTATTCTCTTTTATACGCCTGCGAGTTGGCCGTTCCTCTCCTTTGTACCCGAACGTATCGTTGCGTTGCACATAAATTTATCGATCGACGTCCACTACCAACCATCTTTCTCTTTAATACAAACTCATCCAACATGTCGTATCTTCTCTACTCGATCTCCTTCTTCGCCCTCGTCCTCGGCACAGTTCTCTTCTTCACCCGCGCCCACTGGATCCCCCACGTTCAACATCTGCGACCCAGACTCCCTGGCGCAGACTACATCTACTCGCGACTCCCGAACAGTTTCGCCGGCGATATCGAGGCCGGTCTTTCCAGCAATACATTTGATCTCTCTGGAAATGTCGAGTCAGGCGATTCGCGCGCTGGTCTTGACGATGCGGCAAAGGCTGAGGTTCTCGCTATCATGAAGAAGAGAAGGATGAACTTTGACCAGGCGAGGAAGGTCTACATGGAGAACCGATTCAAGGCCAATGGTATTGGCGCTGATGGATTACCGAGAGATCCGAAGTTCGTGAGTTTCTCATAAGAGTTGCGTGAACATGCGAAGTACCCGACGAGCAACGTAGCCCATTACGGCGATATTCGACTACGAACTCGACTTCCCAATTATTATTACTATTCCTACTCTACAAAGTTCGATGCTTCCGACATCATTCAGAAACTACACCACGTCAAAGCGATAGATTGCTTGACTTGCGAAACACTTTTTACGTTGGCACACCAGATGCAATTTCCTATACCTATCAAGTCTTTTTGGTTTCCCTGATTTTTCATGCGTTTTCCTTTTTCCTCTATGTTTCGACAGCGTTTGTTGGGTTGCTCAATAAAGGATTTGATATCAGTGGCCTGCACTCATCTATGATCTGCGAGGCAAGGAGTTTAGGTGGGATGCGAAATGGTTATTATCAACTGAGTAGACTCTGTCTGCCCAGTCAGCTATTGTGCTTTCCTTATCTGCTAGTACCAAATATGCAATCGATGAATCCATCATCTCATCGTGATCTCCGCCAAACGCCATGAGTGAGTGTATACCCATACAAAGGTCAAAATCTATATACAAGAATTGTCCGACGCTAGGCCGGGGGATGGGCAATCTTGTCAAGTGGCAGTGTCATTTACTGACGCTCAGCGGCAAGTGCCTGTTCTGCTGATGAGCATGTCCAAGATTTGGTCCTAATGCTATAAACTGACCAAATCCCGTGTGCCAGAAATTGGTAATGGACTTGGGCTGACCAGAAGCACATCTATTGGGTCTTCTTGGTGCTAGACGAACCGTATGTGCGGTTGTCTTTACCTTCGATCTCTTCAATAAGCTCATCCACCTTCTCAATCTCCTTCTTCCATCGACCCTCTGACATCTTCATATTACGCTCGAACATCCACTGCTCAGGCATGAGATATGTGCCACCCATGCGGTCAAAGCCAGTGAAGAACTGGCCGTAATTGACCTCAAAGCGAGAGTGGTGGAGAGAGTGGCAAGCAGCGCCGTTGACAACGGGGTTGTTGGTGAGATACTCGCCATCGTGAATCATGACAGACCAGAGGTTCACGAATACGAAGAGCGCCACATATGCCATCTTCTGGAGCGGGAAGATAAAGGGGAAGATGTGGTATGGCAATGACTGGGTGAAGCCATCGAGAGGGTGGAAAGCATGGCTAGCAAAGGGCGTGGGCATGATCCACTTGTGGTGAAGCTTGTGCAGGTACTTGTAGACCAGGCGGTGGTGAAGCCAGCGATGAGCCCAGTAGATGCAGAAGTCGGTGAAGAGGAGGAAGAGCGGGAACTGGAAGAAGTTGTACCAGAGCCCGGGTCCATCTTCAGTGGTGTCGTAGAGTTTGCCGTATCCGCGCACTTCAAGGAGGAAGAAGGGTGCTGTGATGATGGCCATGACGGGCATGGCCTTGTTGGCTGCAATGATTTCAAGGCGGACTTGGTTCTTGATGAAGCGAGGGTGGTCAAATGTTCGCTTGTCGAAGATGAAGATGTATGAGAGTGTCGCGACGATGAAGTAGACGAGAAGCCCAAAGATCCTAAAGCTTGTTAGCTAAATCCGTGAATCTCAGATGAAGACTGACCAAGTGATAAGATATAGAGTCAGAGCTTGTCGAAGAGGGTTGTCACGATCCCAAGCGCTCATGTATGCCTCCTCTGCTGGCTCAAGCGTGATGAATTGAGTGGCCGGCTTGTAAGTCCATGTTGAGAAGGCCTTGGCCGACGTATCTGTCGAGTTTGAGGGCGATGGGAAATCATAAGGAGCTGGAGGCTTTGGGTGAAAGTAGGAGTATGCGTAATCGGCGATAAAGGTATCGACGACCTCGAGGACGACGTCCATGATCGGCAATTGGGTTTGTTGCAAAGTTATAAAGCCGCGGGTAGATAAATGAGCGGACTTATAAGTGACTGGGCGAAGACTGGTGTAAGTGACCAAGAGAAACACCACGAACTCAGGTTAAGAGTCAACCAAACGGAACAATGAATCAGTGAGGGCCCCCTACAAGACGCAATGATCTAGAAAATCAAACCTATTCACAGAAGGGGCCTCGTCTTCTTTATCAATGAATCGACCAAGGGAAAGGAAATCACATTGTCTGATACTACAAGGGTCCATCGGCGGCTTGCGAGGCGGGGCCGTTGTTTCTGTCAGGGATGCAGAGACAAGTGGAGTTCTGGAAAGGGTCTTTAAAGCTCGATTGAGCCAATTGGGGAGCTTGGAAGTGAGAGCTTCTAGATTTATCTTATGATGTAGGACGTACGAGAAGAGGAGCTCCTAGTGACTTAGACGAACAAGAAGGAGTCTTTGCCATTGAAGTCAATCGATGCGCTGTATGAATGTGAAAGGGTATTCAAAATATGGAATTCTCGCAAGAATGTAAATACGAATACAGAAACCTCTACAGCTCTCATTGGAGAATTCCTATGCTCGAGATGGGATTCGTCAAGTACCGGAGCCAGTAACGGTCGTCTTTGAATGAGAATCGCATGATGAGCTCCGAACAAGCCCGGGCGAGCAATAGCTATGTTCAGCTACGTTTCAGTGCCTCATCAACCACAAAAAAAAATAACAAGGGTTAATATCGTTTCTTGTGTTGATTGAAGTGGTCTGTTCCGGCTTCTCAGGGCCCGAGTGCTTACCAACCAATTGGCTTTTACAGTTGGAATTGATGTTCCACTCTGGATCGAGGACCATTTATTTTCCGATATCACGAAGACGAGATATCGAACGATTCAGCTTTGGGTAATTCAGCCTTAAAAGGGGATGTTGCTAAAGTACATCCTCACCGCAACACTACGCCACGAGATCGTACTGATATTGCGAAAATATGATATACTGAGTGAATCGATGTAGTGTGATGTTCACTGCGCAACGGTTCTAGGGTTTACTGTGAATTGAGGCCTCATAGCACTGCAATAGGAGGAATTTTACAGTCAATATGTCATATTCCACATTGCGATTCTATCCGTCATGTGTACTGTACTTTGTTCGTTTTCATCAGAATACTTGAAGTCAATATCATGGTTCGACAATGCATTGTCGATTCGTCCATACAGCGTGGAGATACGGAAACGAATACGTCGGGGAAACCCTGGAAATATCACACAGGGACGAATATGAACTAACGTCTTCTGATATTGGATGCTGACTTTGGACCCCTAACCCACGGGATTTCGGGTATAAGAGGGAATAGCTGTTCCTGAACTGCCTTGACAGCCATTGTTTCAATGGGTCACGCTTTCTGGGCTCCTTACATGAGATACCCTACCCTATATCTTTGCTCATGATTCTTTGGGCCAAACTTTGAACTGTTTCTACGTATAATTCTGTTGCCTCGGAAGTTTGCTCTACGTCAATGACTTTCATCTGTATTCGGTTAGGCAACTTTATTTTTATATCTATGATCAAGTGCGTGACGGGGAACCTAACTCAGAATTTCCTTTTCGAAAACTAGAAAGAAGGTAATCGATTTATCATCAAATCAAACGTGAGTGAGCTGAAAGGTTGTTACTGATAACAAAATGTAACCGAGATCGCGAGTGACAATTTGGTATGTTACGGTCTAAGATGTGTGTGTGATGAATTGACTGCGAACATATCGGATTTCTGTGAGTAGGTATCCCACCCACCCCGCAGGTGGTTTGAGTATGATGACAAAGGCCAGCTGCGCGATACTTAACCTGTCCCGAGTCAGATACTTAAGCCTTATCACCATTTTCTCAGCCGTCGTGAGTCGTGTGTCGCCCACCAACTTTTCTGGCCAGAATCGAAAATGCCCGAATATAGTGACGTTACTCGACTAAGCAGAACGAATGAACATTCAAATATGAATCTTGATGCCCCTCACGGTTCTCTATCATCCACTCGCAACTCATCATTTCTGACAATGACTACCGATACATCATATTCGCGAGAGGATGAGGCATGTGGCACCAGTCACCTTCCATTAAACGTCGCACAGAATGTCACATAAAACTGGTCAAATCCGACGAGACTTGCCTGTCACTTCCGTTTTACTTGATGGTGGCGCGGCTCTGTCGTGTTCAGTTGTGCTGTGTTGTGTTGTCACAGATGCAAGCAAGGTCTGCAGATGTTAGACACAGGAGTACAGTCCACTCATCGTAACCCAATTGGCTCGGAGGAAGCATCTTGGAGCTAAGGGACAGCATGTGGTGGGAAAGGGTTGTTGTGAGGAGAGAGCTAAACTTATTTCAACTTGCATGGTTCTCCAGTTGTTGCTGTCAACAACAACTGACTTCCCACCGACTCCAGAAACTCGAACCTTTAGCAACAGTATGATCTGCGCCATGATAAACTTTCCGGCGTCACTGTCATAAACTCAGTTTATGATGGAGAATGTCTGTATGAACGATCCGCAAAGCCAATGATCAGGGCAAGGGTGGTAGTCTCGGCCAAAGATCCGAGAATGATACCAATCATAGTGCAAGTAGGAATTCACGTAATATCCGTGCATTAAAGCCAAACAAACCCCTCCTTGCCCGCCCGTTCACACGTCCTCAACAGCAATCGAGTTTCCCGTGAGACTGGAGGATCCCGCTTCCAATAAACACTCTGGGACCTGTGGCGTAGTGTAGTGTTCGTTCTGCTGCAGCGTGGCATCTCAAAGTGCCAAGGATAGGTCTGTGACAGGGAGGGGAGCACGAGGGAAAAGGGCGTGCGCTAACTACCCGTCTTAGACTGTCGTCCAAAAAAAAAAAAAAAAAAGGGTGTCACAGCGTCAGGCGAAAGAACCAAAAACTGTAATGAGAAAGCAGAAGAAGGGGGACTTCAAGGGGAGGCGTTGAGGCTTTGAGGCGTTGCAAGGTGTATTTCTAGCAAACCAACCAATGCAGCCACAGGGCAGCCCCGCCCAAACGGAGCCAGCAGATTGCCCCGGACCGCCTAGCACCCACCTGGCTCAGAGGGTGGGGACCCACTTGGAGGCTAGCCGCTAGAGGCTGATATCTACTAAGGTACCCATGCACTACGTCCATGCTTTAGGTCGGGTTCTTGCTTCAGCACCACTCGCTTCCGTTTCCTCCTCGGCCAGGCCTCTCTTTTTTTCTCCCTCTTACTCTTCCATCAAAACATCATCACAATTAATCACATCTTACCCGAAACGTCGACAACTGGCCAACCCGTCGGCGCATATCATATCCTACGACTATCTGAGCTGGCCCTTGCTCATCAAGGGCGTCCACACGCTTCGATTTTATCGGCATCTGTCCAGTTCGCGTTCCTTGGTTCGCGTCTGTATTTAATTGCCTTGCGTCGGTAGCCAACGCCAACATCCTTGATCAACCAGTCTTGACTTGGCACCCAGCCTCGCGCGCCAACTCATCGACGACGCCGAATACGCGAAGCGTAGCGCGATAAACAATTTCATTATCGTCGACCTCGCCGCAATTGACTTTCGTCTCAACAGGCCTCGTTCTCGAACTACTCATCGCTGAGACCCGCCTTGCGCAATGTCGATGTATCCGCATCGCGCCATGGGGGGCGGCCCCCAAGGCAATTCCACTCGGCTGAACGAGTTGCTCGAACAGATCAGGGTCGAGTTTGATACTCAGATGCGCGCGACGGAAAACTACGAGCATCAGAGTATGTCTACTACTCGTACGGCGATAGCTCATATCGCGTTATTTCCTTCACCCCAGCTAACACATGTGTATCTTTAGTTGCCGCGCAAGTCAGCGAAATGCAACTGGTTCGTGAAAAGGTGTATCAGATGGAGCAAACTCATCTCAGCCTCAAGCAGAAGTAAGCCGATCTTGTCGCGCCAGTAATTTCGAATCCCCGCTAACCTCCCGAATCACAGGTATGAAGATGAGATCAGTGCTCTACGACACCAACTCGAGGCTGCTCGAAAGGGAGGCATCCAGCCTGGCATTCCCGGCCCGCCTCAACATGCAGCGCCCTCCCAGCAGCCTCCTTCTATCGCTCCTGGCAATGGTCTTTTTAGTGGCATCATGGCTGGCGGTAGCCAGGGAGGTCTCGTTCCTCCTCAGCCAGGCCAGCAGCAGGGTCAGCAGGGCCAGCCCCAGGGTGCGCAACAGCAGCAGCAAACGCAGCAGGGACATGCTCCTCAGGAGCAGCCGCTGGGACCTCAACACCAAATGGGCCAAGGGCCTCCTGGACTTCCCGTCCCTCCTCCTCACCCTAACGCGCAGCAAGCACCTTACTCTCAGAACTATCCTCCGGGCCCCGTTTCCAATGGGATGGGCCCCCAGCCCCAGAGCACCGCCTCTCCCGGCCCCGGTAGAAGGGGTATCGGTCGTCCACCAGGTGCCGTCGGACCTGCTACTCCCCAGGTTAACACCCCCGTGCCTTACCCTGGAAGTGCAGCCTCCCCTCAAGTCAGCCATCCGACCCCCGAACACGGCCGAATGGGAGGCCCACATGCTCCCGCCGTTGGCAACGCTCTTGGAGACCTTGAAGTTGACTCTGTGGCCCCTCACAACAAGAAGACTGGGCAGGATTGGTATGCGATTTTCAACCCTCAAGTCCAGCGTGTTCTCGATGTGGACCTCGTCCACTCTCTCAACCACGAAAGTGTCGTATGCTGCGTCAGGTTCAGTCATGATGGCAAATATGTTGCAACTGGTTGCAATCGATCTGCCCAGATCTTTGATGTTCAAACTGGTGAAAAGGTTTGCGTGCTCGAGGACCATAATGCCTCTGATATGAGCGCCGATCTCTACATCCGCAGTGTCTGCTTTAGTCCCGATGGTCGCTACCTGGCTACTGGTGCTGAAGACAAGTTGATTCGAGTAAGTTGTGTCAGAAACGTAAAAATGTTTAACCTACTAATATTGGTTAGGTATGGGATATCCAAACTCGAACCATTCGAAATCACTTCTCTGGTCACGAGCAAGATATTTACTCGCTCGACTTTGCTCGTGATGGTCGAACAATTGCCTCGGGCAGTGGTGATCGAACTGTACGCCTGTGGGATATTGAGCAAGGCACAAACACTCTCACTCTGACAATAGAGGATGGCGTCACGACTGTCGCCATCTCTCCCGATACCCAATTCGTCGCTGCAGGCTCGCTCGACAAGAGTGTACGTGTATGGGACATCCATTCCGGCTTCCTTGTCGAGCGTTTGGAAGGACCTGATGGTCACAAGGACAGTGTTTACTCGGTTGCCTTCTCGCCCAGCGGCAAGGACCTAGTTTCTGGCAGTCTCGATAGGACTATCAAGATGTGGGAGCTCAGCGCTCCTCGTCAAGGAAACCAGCCTGGCCCCAAAGGTGGCAAGTGTGTCAAGACATTCGAGGGCCACCGCGATTTTGTCTTATCAGTTGCTCTCACCCCTGAGGCCAACTGGGTACTTTCTGGCTCCAAGGACCGGGGTGTCCAGTTTTGGGACCCTAGAACAGGTACGACGCAACTCATGCTGCAGGGACATAAGAACTCCGTCATCAGCGTCGCACCTAGTCCACAAGGAAGATACTTTGCCACTGGCTCTGGCGACATGAAGGCTCGTATCTGGTCTTACCGTCCCTATTCCTGACTAAACAAGGAACCGGCTCAATGGGTTGCTTTTTAGATGCTGTGTCTAGAGAATGACATGGTTACGAACAAGGGCGAACTGATACACGACGGAGAAAAAGTGATGTGCTTGGCGGCGGTGGTTGTACTGGGACGGATATCTTTGAGGGGAAGCATTCTGCTTTTCACGTGGTGGCTAAACAGAGTGAGCGACAGAAATTCTTGTTACTTGGATATCGGATACAGGAATCAAGCTCCATACGCTCAACTTACGGCGCGAAGCATGATCTTCCACAGAGGCGCACAGGGATACGGGGAATTTGGAGAGCAGGATGAACGTAGAGTGGGCCATATCTGCTCGTTTGCAACTTTTTTTGTTTCTAATTTTGCAGTGTGTTATAATGAAAATCACCAGTCCTTGAAACAGTTTGCTGTATCTGTAGTGGTTGCTGACATGGTTGTTGTTCATGATATGTATTCGAAGCTGTATCTAACTCGAATTGTGTACGTATAGTAAATGGCATAACATCGTCATAGAGAGTCGAAGAGGCTGGAAAATGCGTCGCCTTTCTTCTTTTTCTTTTTCGGCTTATCTGTAGTGCCATTTTTCGATGAAAGAGAGCCGAAGAGACTAGACAATTCATCACTGTTCTTCGTTTTCTTTTTTGGTTTGTCCATGGTGTCACTTTTGGACGAAATCTTCTTGGTGTCTGTATGTGTCGTTTTCGTCTCATATTCCTTCAGCTTGAGGTCTTTCGAGCAGGAGTCTGCTTTCGGTACTGGCTTCGTTTTCTTCTGAGTTGACAGAAGCTCATCACGCGAAATGGCTACGCCCATGTCCACTCCAGCATTAGGTGCGCCGTCCGTTCTTAAATCTGAAGTTTGATGTTTGCTTAGCTCCGAAGGCATTGGTTCTGTACTAGTCGAGATTGGAGGGTTGTGGTCGTGGTCAGGGACGAGTTGGGAGAGTAGAGTGTTGGTTCGAGCAAGGACCGAGAGGAGGAGCAGTCCGAGAGGCGCATGCTGGTTATCAGCTGCAAGTTGTGAGAAAGTACTGTGCGTAGAATAAAACATGCGATTAGCTATCTTCAACGCTGAAAGGCTTGCCAACAAGTCGTTGACCTACACAAAGGCGCCAGGGACGACATGGCGCATCATCCATTTTGCGCGCGCAAGGGCAGGATAGACATCACGCTTGACACCGCCAGATTTGACCTTCCTAGGCCGTGAGTTTAGGTCGTTGACGAGGTTACGGACTGCGCGGCGCAGCACAGAGAAGGAGGACCACCAGTGCGACGAAGAATGCTGGTTCTTGTGACGATGAGCGAAACCATTGAGGATGGGGATGAGAGGCGCAAGGGAGTCGCTGGTTGTCGCTAAGAGGGCGGCATCGGGAGGAGTTGTCATGATGGAGGTAGATGATGCGTGAGCATTATTGATAATAGATCTAGTAGAGAGATTGCGTAAGTCCGAGATTCAGCCGAAAGATTCACTAATATGATTTCGAGTATCTTATGGAGAGTGACGTTGAATTTGTTATAGAGATGGATGGATGAAGTTAGAGGTTGGAGCAACTTTTAGTTGCGATAAGATAAGAAAGATCTGAGTTCACCAAGGTAGCACCGCGGAATAAATAGGTAGGTAGTGATTTGATCGGCGTTCGAATTATGATTTCTGCCAAAAAGAGTCTAAACAGATGTCATTTCTCAGTTGTACAAGGTTGAATATCAATCCTATTCTTGCGCATAGTTTTGTTGCCCTGTAAATGAAGTTGCTCGTCGGTTATGTGTGCTGTAGGTTGGAATAAGGTGAGGTGAGGTCAGTTGATGGGTTAGGTGTATGGGAGGTGCATTCAACCTGGTTCCTGCTATGGTTTGCATTGCCAATGCATGGACGTAATGTAACATCAGAACAAGATTGATGCTGTGTCTTTATCCCTCTTTCAAATAACATCGACAATCAGCAAAATATGACATGACCTTACATTACATGTCAACATCTGCGCCCGCAAACAACGACTTGCAGACAGTCTCTTACATATTAGTTATTACCTTGAATCTGGTCTCGTGAGCCCCTAGCCCATTTCTCCACCATCGAGCGTCGAGCGTCCACCACCCCATACCCAAAACGAAGCCATATCCCGTCAAGCCTGTTAGAGCTGCACAGAAGTTGAATTACAGGTGGGGTTCAGTGCAACGACTGCACTCAAGCGGGTACAACCGCCAACCCTAGCTGCTAAGTTAGTGGCTAGGCCATTCCACTAGTTGTCAGTCATGATAGCTCATGAGTGAGACTTTGAACGTTGTTGTCCTACGACACGGCGAGACATTCCTTTGGATTCCTTTGGTGTTGACGTTGCTCATTCTTGTCAGTCATTGGTCGCTTGTCGCCTGTACGCTTGGGACATTGTCCTATCATTCATATGTATTCTCCGGCAGTTGGTGCTGTTACTAAACGTGACCCTCCATCAACCCTCGAGAACAGGCTAATCATCCTAGTGGCCCTCAACTGCAGCTATCGAGGGTCCTGGAGATTGAGACGACAGCATCTTTAGTCAAACCTCTTATCATGCCTGGTTGAACTGGTTCTTGGTATCAGTAACCTGACCCCTGCTGGTTCCATCCAACCCTGCCAACCCAATTACAAGCTCAAATCCAAAACCAAAGCCCAAAACGAGGAGCCGCTGGCCATCGGCTATCGTGTGCACAGGGCACAGGCGTTCTTGAACTATCCTTGGCTGCGATAAGCGTCATGTCCTTCGTCTGTTGGCGCGCCCACTTCCACTATGGTCCAAGTTGAGCCGCGTGCCATATGACCCTGAGCCGAGTCTGCCCTCTTTCTTGTCCGCTTGTTTGCTTCCTCTCAATTCCTTTTTTTGCACCTCTTCAAACTGTTCGTCGACAGTTGGTGAAACCTCATCAATTTGGCCGAGTCTGCAGGACCCTGTCCGCTGTTGCGTTGCAGACCTTGATTGCAACCATCCTTCCAACTTTCTAGTTTTTTCTGCAGCCTTCGCCACCCCGACGCTTAACTTGGCGGTCCAGGACGATTGTTAAGAACCACGGAGTACCTGCTTAGATCTAATCAAGCAGCGCAAAACACGACGAGAAGGACATTCCAAAACAAACGTGAAGTTGGCGGCGATACACAATTACAATGTCTCCGGCGCGGAATCCTACGAGCTGGGATGACTACGAAGGGGGAGCTTCACCTCGGGGAAGCGTGACCGACAGCATGCTTGAGCGCGAACAAGCTCTTGTGGACGACGAAGGCGACGAAACTGGCGACCAAGAAAATGGTGAAGGATTTTCGAGGCCGCGAAGGCGGTATGTCTAATCTATGAAATTCATCAATTGGTTTTTGTAGCTAATAACTTTTAGGTCTTCCGTCACCTACCAGTTGGCAGCAATCGCAGACATTGGTGGTGTAAACAGTTTCCGTTCTTTCGCCAGGAGTTGGCAGCGAGCGGCAGGATTTCCTGAGGTTATTCCTCGCCGACCGAGCTTTGTTCTTGCGCCGGAGCAAGACACAGAAGACCTTCAGTATAGTCGCAGCCATGTTCAAGGATCGTCGCAACAACAATCGGGCCTTTTGCGCCAGCATCTTGATGCCTCGTCTTCGCATGCGAACGGCGAGTCTAGTTCAGCCATTGAGTCCTCACCGAGGTCAATGAGGATCCCCCATCGTGATGGCGAGACGAAGCCTCTGCTTGATGTTGAAGCTGGCTCATCCCCTGTTGGGTCACCCCGATCAAGTATCTTCGCCGTCCCACCTCACCTCGCAGCTCCCGATATTGTTGGAAGCTATGGTTCGTTCCGAGACTCTTCTCCTTTTGGAACTATGGACAGGAGTTCGCGCCATCGCATTTCGTTCAGTGAGGGTAGCGGCTGGGGCGTAGCTGACGAGGAAGAAGAAGAGGGCGAGGGTGCAGCGCATGGCGAACACCAGCCCATCCTGGTCAAAGAGGTCAAGCAGGGCAATAAGGTTGTACTTGCTGTTGAGGGCCAGAGCACTCTTCCTCAGTCCGTCTTCAACTCGATCAATGCCCTGATCGGTGTCGGATTGCTCAGTCTCCCACTGGCCCTGCAGATGACAGGTTGGATCCCTGGCCTACTTCTTCTCACTCTGACAGCGGCTGTTACATCGTACACCGGCAAGCTGCTGGCCAAGTGCATGGATTTTGATCCCAGTCTCATTACGTATTCCGACCTGGCGTATATCTCATTTGGTACCCGAGCGCGAGTGATTGTTTCTGCCCTTTTCAGTCTTGAGTTGGTAGCAGCCTGTGTCGCTTTGGTGATTCTCTTTGCCGACTCGCTCAGTCTGTTGCTTCCGGGTCTTGCGAGCGTCAACACATGGAAGGTTGTGGCTTCTGTCATGGTCCTGGTCCTGAATGCATTGCCTTTGCGCCTATTGAGTTACACCAGCGTCGTTGGTATTTTCTCGACCTTCTGCAGTGAGTACATCATTTCTCAGTATCGCCAATACGCATTTGCTGATATGATACAGTTGTCGTGATTGTCATTATTGATGGCCTGTACAAACCTCACTATCCTGGTTCACTACGAGAGCCAGCAACAACCTATCTATTCCCCGAGAACTGGCTTGCTGTACCTCTTGCCTACGGTCTTCTCGCAAGCCCTTGGGGTGCGCACTCTGTTTTTCCATCCGTAGGTTATACCGATATCAAGTTGGACACTTGAGCTAAAGCATTCCAGATCTATCGTGACATGCGTCACCCTTACAAATGGGGCAAGGCCGTTAATGTTACCTTTTCCTTCTCTGTGAGTATATATAGTATCTTCATATTTTGGAAGCTTCTCTGACTTGTTTAGTACGTGGTGGACACATGCCTGGCTGTAATTGGTCTCCTAATGTTTGGCGATGGTATCAAGGATGCTATCACCTCCAACATTCTCAAATCGAAGGGCTATCCTGACGCTCTGAAGATCATCATGTCAATCTTCATTGCTATCATTCCTTTGACAAAGATCCCTCTCAACGCTCGCCCTATCATCACGACTTTGGACGTCATCTGTGGAGTTCACGATCAACATCATCACCATCATGACCAGCCTCACAGCCAGCCTACTCGTTCCTCGGTTCTGGTCACAAAGGCAGTACGAGGCCTCGTGCGCGTTTTCGTCGTCATTCTTTTATTGTTCATCTCTATTGTCTTCCCGGCATTCGACTCTGTGTGCGCATTCCTCGGTGCGGCCCTTTGCACACTCATTTCTATCATCCTGCCCATCTCATTCTACTTGAAATTGTTCTGGCAGGATGTAACAGTGCACGAAAGGATTGTTTCTGCTATTCTACTGGTTGTGTTCGCCATCCTTGGCACATTGGGAACAATCTGGACATTCTTGCCCAAGCATCTCATTGGCGCTGACTAGACTGTGTTTGTTTGAGTATGAAAGGCATCTACTGGAGTTGTCAAGCATTTGTGGGTTATGTCCCAAGGAATTGAATCATCATTTACGAGAAAGGAGATAGGACTACGAATAATATGTTACCAATGAGCTTCCGAGCTCTGTTTGTTCTGGCTTCTTTACCAACTCTTTCTCATGCAACGTGTGCCTTTGATCCTCGACCTGTTGTGAGATACGTATGAGATGTTTCACCGCTGTTAACTTCACACACTTACATCACGCATGACGGCACCACAGTGTGCATATTTATTTACCCTCATCTCCTCTTTATCCGTATCTTGGCTTGTGTGAGTGGCAGCGTCATCAGTGAACCTCCTCATGTTCCTGATGGTCAGACAATACTTGAGAACTGAGTCTCTCGAGACGTAATGAGCATACCTAACCATCATTGTCGATACATACTTCCAAGTACAATCAAGACCACCTTACGAATGTCTCCTGTCTCTCCTCAGTTCATCTCTGCAGTTCTTCACCCCGCCGCTGATCCCCCAACTGCCGCTCCCATGACATGCCATACCCCAGCCCCGACCCCTCTCTCAACTTATTTCGTCACGCCATGGCTTCGTTCGCTCTCATCCAATCCGACCTTCCGAGAAACGAGAGAAGCGGTAACAATGGATAGGAGAATTGACAAGTCCCGAGGAAACAGGCCGATCGGGCCGTCCGGGGGTTGCGAGTCGTATACCTATTTTAGTTTAGAAATGTCATGAGTACTGTACAGACGTTAGTAACTATTAGTTGATGGCTTAGAGAGTAGTAAACCTGTCTTGGTTCTGGAGTGTGCATTGGTATCGTGCCATGCTGCATTTAGCCAAAGTTGTGTAGGTTCAAGAGGCAAAAGCTGGGCATGACGTCGTGCCTACTGTCAAGTGAGACTGTATGTCAATCAGAAGTTGTGTATATGGCTCAATGAAACATCAGACAACTGAGAATTGAGGTAAGTCCAGCAGATGATAAATCCAAGTTAGCAGTGTGAAAAGAAACAAAGACTTCATATAGACAAAGATGAACAAATAGTGTTTGAGTAGGTACTTCTGGTATTTGCATTATTTCTAGAATATCCTATACACAGAAAGCGAGTAAGGCTCTCATCATAATCCAAGCAACGCCCGAAATATCTTCGAGTATCGCGCCAGGGACTCAAGACGGCCAAACTACATTTGAAGGCTGATGGGAATCAATCCCATTTACCAACCTCCAACCCACTCAACGTCTCCAAGATCGGTACGTCGATCCCGACGCCAGTTCCAATCTCTGCCCTTGTTCCAGGGACATTCCTTGCTGTTAGACCGTTCTTTAGCGGCCCCAAATTTGTGGTGATAATTAGAATGATCCCAAACGCCCGCTTCATAAGATTTGTTGTATCCAAAACCAAAATTGTGTCGTCGTGGCTTAGAAAAGTCCACCGACTTAATAGAATCCAAAGTAGCAGTTTGACCGCGGCGTCGCTCACCCAATGCCGCCCACTTGTCCAGAGAACTTCTCGGCTTGCTCATGGGCGAGTGCGAGTAATGAGGAGTGATGGTGATTTGTTGAGGCTTAGGGGTTGGGGCTTCTTGGAAGAAGAAACCATCAGCGACCAAGTCATCATCCACGTCACCCTTGATGTCGTGAGTGTGCGACGCCGACTCGGGTTCAGGCTGTACAATGTCGGTCTTCATGACCTGTTCCTCCTCCTCCTCCACCTTCTTCTCCTCCTTGCTCTCCTGGCTCCAAGTCCTGGCATTAAGCTCCTGAAGCATCTGCCGCTGCTGTTCCATTTCCTCCTCTTCCTCATCCTCATCCCACATGTCACTCCAGCTCTTAGACACAGTTTCCTGACGTCGACCAAAGACCATAGACATAGCTGGCATAGGCTTGGCCATGTTGATTGGAAGGGAGCCAGCAGTTGCCGAAGATCGGTTGAATCGAGCAGTGGGCTTGATGGCAAGAGACTTCATGGAGGCGCCCAAGTGAGAGTCGTAAACGGACGACATGGGGGTCTGCATGTTGGCGGAGCACCAGTCGGTGGTAGTCGCTTCTGACTTAGGGAAGAGATCCTCGGTGTAACTCTCGTCATCGGGGATGACGCTGAGTTGACGGCCAAGATGAGTGGTACCATGGAGAGCCTTGGCCCAGGGGAAAGCACCGGTATCGACGGCGGGAGACTGAATTGAAGGGGTGCGGAGAGGCTCGCGGTTGGCGGTGGCCACGTTGGGAGACTCGGCACCACAGTACTCATCATCATCCTCGTCATCGGTGGTGAAAGTGACCACGCGGAGCAGAGCTTCACGGGCACCCTCCAGTGAGCGTCGCCTGGGGTCAAGGTTCATGCACTGCACGAGGACCTCATACGTATCCTGAGACATGGAGGGGAAGACGTCGAACAAGGACTGCTTGTCCCGAGAGTAGTCGAGGAACAGGGGATCAGCCTCGGTGGGGGTGGTGAAAGGATTGCGAGAGAAGAGGATGTTGAGCAGGCAGATACCAATGGCCCAGATATCCGCTTCGGCAGGCGAGTAACCGGCGCCGGCCGAGTCGAATTGTTCAGGAGCCATGTAACGATCGCTGCCAACAGTCATCTCATAAGACCACTTCTCTGTAGTTGCCAGACCGAAATCACCGAGCTTCATGGCACCGTCCTGAGTGAGGAAGATGTTCTCGGGCTTGATATCGCGATGGTAGACTCCCTTAGAGTGCATGTAATCGACAGCATCGATGAGCTCGATCATGAATTGGCGAACATGCTCCGTCTCGAGAGGACCGTGACCCTTTCGGATTGCTTCGTAAAGATCGCCCTGACCACAAAACTCGAGGACGAGATAGATGTGAGAATCGGTCTCGAACGAATCAATGAGGTTGACGATGTTTCGGTGGGTTCCAAGGCGGCTGTGGAGGGCCTGTTCCTCCGACTTCTCGTCGATAGCGAAATCGGAATCGGCATCGGGGCAGGCACTTCTCTTGGTGAGGCACTTGATAGCAACAGGCTCATTGGTTACAAGATCCTGGGCCTTAAACACCATACCAAAAGATCCATGGTTGAGAGGGGAGATGGTCTGATAACGTCCTTTGAGAAGGGCACCGCCAACGAACTTGTCCTTGAGGCATTCCATGGCGAAAGAAGAAATAAAATGTTCAAAAAGAATAGAAATAAAATGGGAATAGTCGTACAAACGATTTTTTGGTGTTTGTCAATAGCCGGGAATGTAGGAAGTCCGGAGAACGATGTTGAAGCTCTTGAAAACGCTTGAGCTGATGCAAGAAAATTGATGTTCGCGGTATATGAGCAATGTACAGTGTCGTGATGATAAAAGCAGAGTTGAGCAAATTCGAGTTGTTGATGGTAATGTTGTTGTTATTGTTCGTTGGTATTCAGAGGCTCATTTGAGGGTATTCGATAGGCTTAACAAAAGAAATGATTATCGAATTGTCGTGACGGTGAGTTGCGAAGACCGAAGCGGCCGAAGAAGTTGAAGACAAGGAAAATGAAATTCGTTATAATAACATGGGTACGTTTTTTTGTAACTTGAAAAAAGAATGACTCTGACGATGAGAGGTGATGAAGCCGACTTGGGACGAGGTCGACCGGAGAATTGAGTTTTGGTCAAGACCAGGTGAAGGCGTATTAATAGAGAGGGAACCGGATTCGACGATGCCGATAAAACGACGTGTCGGACCAGTCAGACTGGCACCGGGGGATAGGGGAGCGGAGCTCGCCCGGGGCGGAGTTCCTAATGCTCGGTCGGTAACGGTTGAGTCACACGGGCCAACTAGGCCGAGTTGCGGTGTTGAGTGAGAGACCGGAGAGTAAAACGCAAGTCAATGAGGAAACCCTCGTCGACTCAATGCAGCACAAGACGATCCTTCTATGTGACGTGTCCGACTGTATAAGCGCTTTTGATTGCTGACCGAGGCTCGTGATATGCAGCTCAAGGGATGCGGTAACGGAGCGATGTAATAGGAGGTCTAGGCGAACAAGGACTTGGTCTAATGCAGCGGCAAACAACACAAGTCAAGGACGCTTCTTCTTCTCGTTGTGGATTGTATAGCTCAAGCTTTGCGTGATCGATTGGTGATTGAGTGGTTGGCTGTCGATGAATCACCGCGATAAGCGTTGGGATTGAGTGCTTGCTTCGGGAGATAAGGTGGCGATGCGATGCGAGGCGAGGCGGATTCGTTCGGTGAGCAGAACGGTGATTGATGTGGTGTGATGTGAGTTGGGATGGATTGGATTAGATAGGAGTAGACAGAAGAGATGAGATAGTGAGAGAAGAGTGGCAAGCTCGAGAAGAAAGAAGGCCTTTGAAGATGCGGAAAGCGTACAAATGAAGGGAAAGAGAGGTGGAGAGACGATGATAAGAAAGCAGGGGAAAGAAGACAAGAGAAGAGAGAGGGTGAGTTAGAAGGGAAAGGCGGTGATGGAACCAAGTGGAGAGGGATGGATGGTGGATGGGCCATGGGATAAGACAGGATAGGTTGGATTAGTGAGGGTGAATGATTGTTCATACTGTTTGATACACCCATTTCCAAGGCGGACCCCTTCCAAGGCAGGCGAGACAGCGAGTGAGGGCCAGGTCTAGAATTGACGGGGGGGGTACTTGGAGTTTCCTGCAGCTGCAGCTCCACCTGCCCAGGCCCCAGGATTAGAGGGCCGGGTCCACTAGCTAAAGACATGCTGTCGTACCTTGCGTGCTGTGTTGTTGCTTGTACCGGACTAGCCGGGGTTGGGAGGAGGCAAGAGGCAGGCACAGGGGAGATGCAAACCAAGTACTGTGCTGTGCTGTACTGTACTGTACAGCAATGCAGACACACATGGCAACGCAACGACGACTATGACAACTACGGCAAAGGGGACAGGTACAAATTTTACGTATACACGGAATTACAAGATGCACTGTGACCCTGTGTCCCGTTCGCTCCATTCAGGTGCCTCAAATGTTGGGGGAGGCTTGGACGCCAGCAAAGAAGGAATGGCGCTACCGTGGGACGATACCACGACGGGCAAGGGAGGGAATGGTGGCATTAAGAGGTCAATCAAACAGAAGCAGCGATCAGAAACATTGATGGCCCAGGATTAGTGATGATGATACCCCTTCGTCTCAGAATTAGGAAGCATTGCAACGCCAGACAGACAAGTTCAATCCAAAACATGACGGCAGAAATGAAATGAGGTCAATAATGAATACGCGTTATCTAGACACTGTTGCGACATACTGTATACTGGAAGCAGCCAATTCATTGCATAACTCGTATAACTGGCTCACTTTTATGTATGCCGCGTTATCAAAGTTATCCGTCCCCCGGACATCATAATAGCGACATGACATGACGACTTGCCAAATGCAGATCTAGCACTGTGCTATCAGGGAGCCGGCGCTGTCTAGCTCAGTGTAAACAAGGCCTCACGCGCACTGAGGATGGAGAGCATTAACCAGAACCAGGGCAAACTCAGCAGAAGCCAGATCACTCACTCAGTGGCTGGAAGTCAACGGGATAGGGGGAGTCATCCAGAGGCCGGTGCCGGGGCTCAGCATCAGTCATACGGACGAGTACGGGGCCCCAGCGCCGAATCTTGGTGGCGATTCGAGTAGCTTCTGCCGGCGTCCCTCCCGTTGGACACTGCCGGCCCAACTCACCACTGCCTTTTCTTTTATCGGTGGTCGGGGGGAAATGACATGTTGGTCAGCGTGATCATACAGTGTGCGCCCCCTCATCGTACAGTACGCCTACAGTAATCCCCTTCAGCGCCGGGCTCAGACACTGGGAAATGGGATTCGCGCAATCTGGACCTCCGTCGATGCAACGCTGATAGCGGCTTCACCGCCCGCTACCCTTCAGCAAAGTAACTTTTAGGCTATACTCTGGTGTTTCAAGGACAGTGCTCATGTGTATTGCCTGATGCAGATCCCAACAGACTGTTAACCAAGCTACCGCTGGGCGTAGACAAGATGGTGTACGGCCTCGAGGCATGAATGGAGCACCTGTTCACTGGCTGCAGCGACGGAGCGTAGCAATGCACATAGTGCGCATAGTGCGCGTGGCACCAGTGTAGTCCATGCCATGGGCTAATCCATCCCATGCAACGACGATGCCATCCCCAGGTTTTACTGGCTTGGCTCGGCAGCGCAAACAAGACGAGAACGAGCTGTCAATTGCAAGGGTCCTTCTCTATCCCCAACGAAATCCAACTAGGAAACCCAGCTTCTGATGTCCTACTCAAACTGAAATGTCTCGTGGACAGGAAAAGTGAGCCCATTCTTACTATCCCGAATCCGAAATCAGGGTCTCGTTTTCTCTATCGCTATTTCGGTTTACAGTTTTGATCCGTCTCAAACGCAATTCGGGCTTTTCTTAGATAGTCGGCGCCACGGCACAGTCACAGTCCGAGTGACGGACGGACGGTGCTCTGCCAACATTGCAGTCGGGGAATTGAGGCAATCGCTGTCAGCGACTACGCAACTAGACTATTCAGAAAACTGATTGGATCTTGTGCCACGTTTCTCCCGTTCCTGGACTGGAAACCTGCCAATTCTTCGATTGCAGAAGACCCTTGTTATCGCTGGTTATCAGTTCCAAGTCTCCAACTTTTGCCGCCAGTCTCTTGTCGATCACCCTTCTGACGACTTAACGCTTACACCCTTGCTCGTCTGCTAATCTAAGTTATCAGTGAATTGGTCCAGCGTGGTCAACTGGGTCATGCACTCCTGGATCCTGCATTCCAGTGGGCATACCCCCGGTGCCATGAGGACCCTTTCGTCTCAGGGACCAGATGAACTAGCAGACAATAAGACTCGGCCATCAAAAGTAAACAGATGGTTTCTTCAGCCGCCGAGTGTGAATGTGTCATCCAACAAACGCCAGAAGCTTCCAAATATTGGTCAGGGACTGGGATTGTCCAAGGAGATCTTACTGTGTTGGTGTTTACACCCGTAAATAGAAAAGGGGCGTGCGTCAGAACAGGCTATGCTTCCAAGGCTGGACCGGCAGGAATTGCGTGTAACGATCTGTCGTCAACCATCAAACGTGACTGGACGGATTTTCAAGGGTCTGTGTTGCTCAGCCATGCACAAATCTGTGCAAATCTTCACAAATATCACCATGACACGAAACAGCTGTGCACAAATGGCCTGCCCTGCCAGGTTTGCCGATCAGGACACTGTAATGCTACCCTTTTGGGAAGAAAGACAACAAAGAGCAATGGACCTTGAATTTCGACTCAACAGACGAAATGACGGCATTTCGTCTCCATCAGAGCGGGGTGCAAAATACGTGGGCATGAGATTATTCAGGGAATATGGGATTACGAATCTCGGATGATGGAATTCTTCGAGATTACTCACCTGCTCCAGTCTCCAGTCTCCATTATTCAAGCCAAGACAGATACTGTGCTGTACCTGTGTGTACTGGTTTGTTTGGACGGACTTGACACTCGGTGCGGGTCTCCGGGCCTCGTGAGATCTGATGTTTGCTGTCCCTTTGTGGAGTCCGGACAAATATGGAGACGGAATTCGATATCGGCGTTCCAAGGACAGGAGACTTGGAGTCGTGACTCAGTGAAAGTGAGATACGGAGATGAGATGGAGGAACATTAGTTATGTCACGATGGTCGCAGTCTCTCGCTCTAGGCCGACATGCTACACAATTGCACGTTGAAATGGTTCCAGACACGACTCCCTATTTCGGTTGGACGTGGTTTGATTGTCTCAAGTCACGTAGTTCCCGGCTCTGATTCGTTGTCATATCGGAAACACAATATTTACTTACATTGACAACATAACATGCTATTATGCGCGGATCTTGTCAACAAGGGAGGGCAACAAGGGATATTGAGGGGAAAACCGAGACGCAGAAGGGATTGAATCTCATCATCGAAGATGATTTTCTGACTCAACAGATTCGCTTTTTAGATATCACCTGAGAGTTGCAGCTCTTGTCCAGGGTAGCTACAGTACTGTATGGACAGTCAGTCATGGGGTTGAATTGAAGCTCCAGCAAATTGTGACCCATCAGCTGGAAGTGAGGTGATGGGTTAGACCCTTCATTCATCTTGAAGTGGCTGGACAACAGAGTGACATGTGCAACGGTAGGAGGGGCCGCCTAATCACAAGTACCCTCACCGGATCCCCATCTACCACGAGGCCAAGAATTGAGACTCCACCAAATATGATGAGAGAAAAAGGGTCCTGCTGTGACTGTGGACAACACATATTTTCTTTCTTTCACCGTTGCCAGGGGTTGTCTCGCTGCTGCGTTCCGGAAGCTGCATGAACTGGCCACTTCAGCTCGGGAACAGCAGGGTATCTGTTAAATGCTCCGTATCGAGCTGCAGCTTGGGTTGCTTTGCCTCGGGACTACAGCCTGTAGTGACACGGGGTTTGGCGACAGCCGGGTTAGGCGTGTACGATGCTGAGCAGACCTTGGATGCGAAAAGATCTAGTTCACGACTTGTGACAGATGAACTGCCAGTTGTCATTTTCGTGAACTGGTTTCTAACTAGAGGTCCATCGGAATTCTCAGAGCCTATCCAATTCACTCGGATCTGGCCGCCGACCCCTGTAACACAGCCAAGTCCTTCTATCCAGTTCCTTCACAGCAGTCCTCTTCGCTGTCCTCCTTACCCTGCAGTCAAGAAATACTAATACGCTATTGGTCGGTTCACCTTAATCCAACCAACCTCACCTCTTGACCGCCTTTCCTCTAATGCTCACATGGCTGCAAACCAACCCTCCATTCGCATTAGATTCGATCTACTATTGCATCTCATCAACCCACGTTCCCGGCTGCATCAAGCTTAACACGGATACCTCTTCAAGGATCTCGAACCTCCAAGGAAATCACCTCACCAAAAGGCGCCAAGCTAGATAGCGGCCCGCTCTTGAATCCAGGAACAAGGACCTTCTGCTGCCACCGCCGATATTAGTTTTTTCACGCTCTCTTCCCTCCCTACCTTTCAAGATCGTAGCAGGGATCCCGAATCGGAATTGGTGTCTGACAGAATTTTCTTGTCATCTTTCTTTCTTACTTTCGGTCTAATTCATCCGTTTCATCTCTCATATTGGACGTGTCAATATTCAGGCTTGACCGCTTTCTCACGAAAATTAACTCCTTTTCACAATGACGCTCAACCTCAATGAATTTGACGTCCTAGTGTTTGACATCGGTAAGATTAAACTGGCTCCACAGTTGCTGTTGGCGACTGCGTGTTTTGTTGACTGCAAGGACTGCTTTGGACTGAGTTGTCATTCTCTGTATTGGCATATGTTTTGTACCTTACTATACACTCGCGCTTTGCTTGGATATCATACACTCAGAATAGCCATAATAACACATATTACAGAAGGAACCGTTTGTCCCATCTCCTTTGTCAAGGACGTTCTCGTGAGTCGTCCCGTTTTCTTGCTTGTCTCACTTCGCAACCGTTCCGATTTTACTTCCCTTACCCATGTACTACCTCCGTCCGTTCCCCTTACCGCCTCCGGGCCCGGACCTCCGTATGGATCCCACCAAAGTTCGTCCCAGCCTCCTCTTCCGGACGTCCTCCGTCCAGCTGCCGGCCTTTGTACCCAGTTCCCGGGTGTCCATGCTGCCGAACCAAGGTCTGCCAAGTTACGCAAGTCTCGGGCGCGTGCAGCTGAAAATTCCAAGCCGAGCACTTCTTTCCCAGCCCCTTCGCACTCTTCACCGACTTTGCCCGTTTCGTGATAGCATGCACGATGTCGACAACACTGCGGCCTGCTGACCAAGGTCTGTTTGTTGTCACTAGTTTCCGTATGCACTCGAGGCACTTCCCAAGGTGTTGGATCAAGAGTGGGATAGCCCAGAGTTCGCAAAGTACCGCAATGCCTTCCCCGAGGAGTATTGCAACTCGCGCTCTGACTTTGAAGCGCACGTCCGCGACCTCGTGAAGCGTGATGTCAAGATTGCCTACCTCAAGTCGCTCCAGGGTTACCTGTGGTTGCAAGGCTACAAGTCGGGTAACATCGTGGCGCCCCTCTTCCCAGATGTTGAGCCCTTCTTCAACGAGGCCACCCAAGCTGGAAAGAAGATCATCATCTACTCGTCCGGCTCAGTCCCTGCGCAGAAGTTGCTCTTTTCACATACCAACTCCGGGAAATCAGATATGACGCCTCTTATCGCCGACTACTTTGATACCACTAATGCGGGGCCCAAAACCGAGGTTGATAGCTACACGAAGATCATTTCTGAGCACCCGGAGCACAAGGACGTCAACCGATGGCTTTTCCTGAGCGACAATATCAACGAGGTCAAGGCTGCTGTCGGGGCTGGTATGCGCAGTTTGCCCGTTGTTCGTCCCGGTAATGCGCCCTTGCCGCCAGACGAACCTCTGTCCAAGCTCGCCATTACCGAGTTCAAGCACTCAGAGGTCGCTTCTTTGGGAGTATGATAGACGGCTGCAGGAAAAGGTCGTTCAGGGTGTGGGGAAATGATAATCGTCGAATAGTGTGGGACCTTTGTGCGGAGATGCAAGAGTAGTAGCTCGCTAGGGAATTCTAGTCCCCTCAAAAACTGAGACCACCGTCCAGCTGATCCTGTCTACTGGTGATCTGGTGTACCCAAGCTGCATAAGTGTCACCATGCACCTTATCAGTCGTGCGACGTAGCAAGTTGCAGATAGTCGATCCAGACGATACAGCACAGTATGCGCTCTCCAAGAACTGTGTAGATAGGATCCTCTTATCGAGAGTAAACATTCGTACCATGCCAGCTTATTGTCGCGTGCTCAAAACTCCATATGTTTTGCCGTGCTGATAGTTTGTTGGGCAGTTCCGCATATGCAGCTCGTCGAGGCCCCACGCGTTGTCGTGTCTCCCCTCATCGTTTCAGTTTGGATGACTCGTCGAAGCTTTGAGCGTCATGACAAAATTGTTCCGTGTCCGTCCTGGATTGACTTCCTTCTTGGTAAAATCCGACCGCTTTTCGGAGACGGTCCCGATCCTCTTCCACAGAGTATATGCCAATTTCTGAGTCATCTTGAACTTGGTGCATACATAGCCGAGAATCGTCATCAACTCCTCGAAGCGAGTTTCTGTAAAATATCGTGAGTTGTCAACACAGCTGCGAGGTAGAACCACAAAAAGGCAGGGAAAGGGTTCGTCAGAACCAGTTGCAGGTTCAGCTGCAGGTCGAAGAAAGGAGAGAGTCCGAAGAAGCATCTGTCCACGCCCCTCGGCCTCGGGCACGAAGTTGAGCACTAGACTCAGAGAGATGATATCGAACACCTCAGAATCGTCCTTGGGCAAGGGGCGCTCCATAAAATCTTGCTTTGTGATGCCTGGCTCCTGGCTGTTGAGATCGATATGCTTCATAGTAAAGATACCGCTTGTTGAGCATGCGTTACGAGTACTCAATGCCCCAACCTCCAGCATATGAAACGGCTGAGCACGCTTCTTGAGCTCTGCCACAGGGAGCCATTCCAGAAGCACTCTTGACGTGTCACCTCCTCTGTCGAGACTCTGACCTTGCAGACTGGCCTTCTGATAGTGGTCAAGACCACCCAGCTTGGCAATCTCCGAGGCAAGGCGAGTTTCGGTGACCGTGTCGCCCTTGGCTGCAGCTCGCCGGCGTTGTTTCTCCAGTTGGTGATGAGTGTTGATGAGACTCCTGCTGGCTTTCCTAGACATTGACCGTGAGGACTTGACAGTTGGCGGGCGGCCACTTGAAAGGCTCTTCAGCCTTGTTTGCTTCTTGGAAACCATTTTAAGAGTGCAATGAGAATTGCCCTTGCGTGTTGACCTCTTGACCCCTTAAAGCATTGAAATCTGAAATGATTTCATGTTAGTCTCGGTGAAGAGAAGGGCAATATTGAAACTCACCGATTCTCAAACCGGGGCAACTCCTCAGGGGAGATTCAGCAGAGTAGAGTGAGCTATAAGGCTTGGAAGAGCATTTTGATTCCTATTTATCGATCGAATTGCCCAAAAGTTCCGTGTGATTGAGTGCAACATTCATTCTCTCGATGACTTTTTGCAGTTGGCTTACCTAAGGCAAAGATAAATCGATCCAAGCATCGACCAATCACATCATGTAGAAGCGAGTGGAGCCAGATTAGCTAACTGCCCTAATGCTTTTGCACGAAAATGAATAAATTTTGAAAATCAGCAAAACTTTTTGTGAACCTTTGACCACTCCGACGACAACCAGCACACCCGACAATCTTGTGCCCTCGACAACACCGACGCAATGGCCGCCAACAAGAAAGGTACGACATGATATGAGACAACAAAGAGGGAAGAGAAGAAAGGGGAAAAGAAGAAAATCGGAAGGGCGAAAGCGAAATTGAGCAAGAATTTGAACGACGATGTTATGGCGACTCTCGAGAGATCAAATCATTACATCGCCTCGATGCAACTACATCCGTTGCGACAACTGCTATGACCGATCAGCTTCGCTTCTACGTCATCGTCTTCTTCGCGTCGATACCACCGACCTTTCGACTCGATCCATCTTCTGATTCTCCTCTTCGACTCTTACCCTCCGAGTTCATACTCTACCGCATCATGCTGCAGCAGATTTTGCGAGTTCTGAATAAGAGCGAATGCTGATGCTTTCAATAACAGTTCAGCCTAAGGGCAAGGGTAACAAGAAGGCCCAGGATGCCGCCAAGGCCGCTCTCAAGGGCGTAAGTTGAAAGCATTGTCCTGAAGACCACCGTCTCAATATGCTAACCGAATATCAATAGTCCAACTCCCACAAGAAGGTCAAGGCTCGCTTCAGCACCTCCTTCCACCGCCCCAAGACCCTGATCACCTCGCGAGCCCCCAAGTACCCTCGCCGATCCATCCCTCACCAGCCTCGCCTCGATGAGCACAAGGTTAGTCCCACCTAGAATCAGATCTGCTGGGGAAACAGTTGTATTCACCACAGTCTAGATCATCGTCCACCCTCTCAACACCGAGAGCGCGATGAAGAAGATGGAGGAGAACAACACTCTCGTCTTCATTGTCGACATCAAGAGCAACAAGTCAGTATTTCCCAAGAACAATATCAGAGTAAAATCTAACCTCGACACAGGGCCCAGATCAAGCTTGCCCTCAAGAAGCTCTACGACATTGACTGTGTCAAGATCAACACCCTCATCCGCCCTGATGGCACCAAGAAGGCCTACGCTCGCCTGACCCCCGATGTCGATGCTCTCGACATTGCTGCCAACAAGCTCTCTCTCGTCTAAAAATACCACTGGGCTTGTGGGTTTCTGGCTTCTTTGGCGTGTCTTTGGGTTGGTTTTTGGCCTGCTGAAAATGCAAGGCAATGGGCATCGGAATAGGCGTAAAAAGAACTTCTCGTTGAGAGTGCAAATGATCATGAATTCAATACCACCCGGGACACGGCTCCGCTTAGTCGTCTAAGATGCTGCCTTGATATGATTTGAGTGACAATACGTGAATGTGATTTGTAGTTACGGGTCGCAAGTATTCTTGCATTGTTTGTTTCCAACAAGTTTTGGGGAATAATTGGTAGAAATTACGGCTAATAGATTTGGTGACATACCATGAACAATGTGCCAGTTAAGTCAAGTCAAGCCATGACGATTTTAGATGAACCTTTCCCCAACAATCAAGGTTGAGAACTTTTTTTTAAATCGTTCATAATGTACATAGCCCAATTGCCAGTCTCTGACCAAAAGAGCCCCAGTCGTCCGTCCTGGTCACAGCCTGGATATTCCACTATGACCATGGCCCGTCTATTCATACAAAAAATCTCGTAATACATAGTTGAAATAACCTTCTTCCATGCTGAAATCAGCTTCTTAGTTGCGCATGCCGTTGAGGTGCTTCATCGTAAGGTAGTTGACGTCAAGAAATCGCTCGACGCAGTTGGCGAGACATGTCTCCTCGGACTTGTCGAGCTTGGGGTTCTTGATGTTTCCAGGAACGCACTTGGTCCAGCACATTTGGGTCAAGCTATGTGTTTCTAGAGACATTTCATTAGCGATTCCGTATCCTATTGCGTCTTCCTCGGTGTTGTGCGTACGGGCTTGGATCTGGGAGCGCTGCTGCTCGTTGGCGAGGAACTGGCGAAGCTCGAGGCGATCCTTGTCGTTGAGCTTCTCGAGGTCGGCGTTATCGATGGACAATTGTTGAGCGCTCATTTTGGCCGTTGTAAAGGGATTGGTAGTGATTGACGTGGGGTTGAAGTTGGTATGTTGTAGTGTAGATTCTGCTCACAAGTTCAAGATTTTTGATGATGCGCAACTGTCTCAGTAACTGACCAATAATGGGCCACAGATCGGCTCGTAGTCCCACTCTCAGCTTCATGATCATTCCTCACCAAGGGATACAAGCAGTGGAGGTATGTTTTGTATGACTGTTATTGCCTGTTATGTAGATTATTCAAAGAAAGAATTATAATCCGATTTATTACAATAACTATACTGAGAGTCCTTTCAACCATCACATACAGCTCAAGACAGACGACTCAGCGCCATGAAGCTCTCTATAAACAGTATCTAATTTATAAATACCAAATAAGTAGTCATAATACCGCTCTAGCACAAGTCACATGTGACAACTCTAGCTAGAATATGCCGCCGAGTAACACCCTTCTATACTGGCAAAGAAACAATGGTAATGACCGACTGGGTTCTCAGAACCAATGTATGCATGTAACATCCACATGCATCGCTTTTGCTAGATGTAACGCTTCCACCGGGCCAATGCCATAAAAATGATGCACAGGAAAACCATGAAGCTAATGATACTGAAGAAAGGAGCCAAGTTGTTTGCGGCAACGGTTGCAAACGGAACTGGCACGTTCATTCCAAACACACCACTGACCAAGTTAAGGGGGACCAGGATCGAGGCCAAGAAAGTGATCTTGCTCAGAACCTCGTTGGTATGCGTTCCTTGCGCGATGCTGTTGATGGAAACCGTAGCAAGATAATTGCTGTGTGCGCGAGACAAAATCTTTTCGAAGTGTCCCAAGTTGGTGGCCATGGTCACAACGTGATCCTGGATGTCACCAAGGTACATGCCGATGTCCATCCGTGGCGTGACCTTGTAGTTCTCGTTGCATCGCTTCGTGAAGCCACGGAGAACATCTGCTTTGCCACCGAGGAGGCGAAGCAGGGCCAGACAATTCTTGCGAACCCGGCCAATTCGACGGAGGAACGAGTTGGAATCATCCTCACGCATGACGAACACCTCGTCTTCAATAGCATCCGCTTCAAGCTCGATCTGGCGAATGACAGGTCCGAAGGAATCAACAATGTCGTCACTGTGGACAATTAGTATGACTCTACAAGTCGTATTCACAGATAAACTTACATCAAAGCATAGCAGATCCAGTCGCTGCTGAGAGAGACATAATCCTTGAGAGCAGTGATTCGCTTGCGAACCTGAGCCGCGTGCGAGTTAGGCTCAAAACTGAAGCTCAGGGTGCCCTCGCGGAACACGATGACATAGGTGTTGAAAGGCTCATACTCAATGCCATCAGGCTCCTGAACAACTGAGAAAGAACGGAAACAGGCAAAGTAGTACGACGGGAAGAGTTCAATCTTCTCGCGAGCTTCCTGAGTGATGATATCCTCAATTGTCAGAGGATGGATTCCAAAAGCTTTGCAAATACTCTGGACCTCCTCCTTGGAAGCCGCATTGACGTTGAGCCACCAGACACCATCTTCGTCTTCATCAGGAAGCTCGAAGAGGCCTCGAAGGTCTTCTCCTGGGAGAACCAGATCGCCAAAATCGGCTGCGTGGATAGTTGACTCCCATGCCGAAGAGAAGAAACTGAACCGGTTGGGGTCGACAGGCGCAGGCTGCTTTTCAGCAATTGACCCCTCGGCATGAGTCTGCGCCGTCTGGTTCGTCTTCTCACGGGTCATCGAGTCATCCGAGACAGGTTCCAGGATATCACCATCAACAGTGACCATCCGCTGAAGGCGCGATTCATTCTGCTGAGTTCGCATATCCTCAAAGCTCTGCTTCTCGGCAGCCGCAGCGTTGCGCTCTGCCGCTCGCTCTGCCGCGCGTTCAGCTGCCTGCTCATTGATGAAGTTCTCAAGGTAGTCAAAGTCAATATACAGGTGGTCCTTGTGATAACTCTCCTTGACAGGGAAGCAAACATCCTCCTCCGCAGTTGTGTTGGTTGAGAGGCTAGCAGCATCATTGTCGATGGTGCGGGGCTTGCTTCGGTAGCTGCGCTTGCTCGAGATAGACATGGCTCGACTGGCTACATCTTCGATATCAGGCTTGTTGGGTTCCGAGAACGACATGTCCCGCTCTCGACGGCGAGCCTGGGCAAACGCCTTAACCGAGTTAGGTGGCGAGACAGATCGATCCGTGGAATCCACAGTAGGTCGGCGACTGCGACGAGCAGTGGGTGAAAGATCACCGACTTCCTCATCGATGATGGCCTCCTCGAAGTCGCGAACTACAATCGCAGGAGGGGCAGGTGGCTCAGGTTCGAGCTGTCGGGCACCATACAGACTGTCGAAAGTGCCACGGCGAGGGCGCTCAACTCTGGTTGAACCTGACTGGTGGCGGTGATCATCGAGCTCCGGGACGGGAGTATCGTACCCAGACTGGGCAGCGGATTCTTCGTGGTCTGACATTTTGGCTTTTGGCTAGGTTTGTAGCTTGATATTGACTATGTTGGCTCTAACGGTGACCGTGTAGAGTAGATGGATATGTCTCGAGGAGGGCGGAAGGTGTATTACGGACTCGGTATTATAGTCCCATAGCTTGTTGTTGTTCCAATCAGTGTCGTCTGATATAGGCGGCTATAGACGTCGCACCCGGCGCGGCATGGGCGCGCCGAGTTGGAGTTTGTTCAAAACTGAGCTCTGCTCGGCGGTTGTCGCCAGTGGCTGCTGGTTGTTGAAGAGTAAATATGTACTAGCGGAAGATGAATAACGGGTAATGCGATCTCAAGACCAGTTACGGGGGCTTCTTGTTTACTCCGCTGTAGACCCAGAAGCTGGGACCGAAGAGCGAAGGGAGGGAAACGTTTGAGAAGGCGAGTTGAGCCAACTTGAAAACTTGTATGGGATAATGGCGAGACGCCGATACTGGATGATGGCGTAGATGAAGCGGTTGCTCGGGGGTGCCAACAGTATTGAAGGCAATTGAAATAGAAGCCGGTCAAGATTCGATAAAGGAAGCTTCGCGATAAAGTACTCGGTTGGTGCAAGTGGATTTCGATCTCAGGAGTTGAGTCAGGCTGATTTATTTGTAGTAACCAGAATTTGTTTTGGGCCTTGGCAGGGAATAAAGGCAGGGTGACGATGCCAGGGCCTATCGTATGAGGGAACTAAGGTCAAGGGCCAATTTCGATACTGGCACGGTTAGCCAGACGAGAAATTTTCTCGTTACTGGACAGAACAAAGACCCGGTTAATAGTGCACGGGCAAGACAAACATAAGTAAGTAAGAAAAACAAGTAATGTTGGGTACAAAAGGAGGTCTTAGTGTCGAGAGCGACGATGTCAGGGTGAAGTTGGGTTTAAGAGGAGTTGAGGAACTAATATACCATAAGTGGGAACCGAAGGGCTAGGAAGAAAAAAATTGTCTTTGGTGGTATCAAGTGTCGGGTACCGAATCGCCGTGTGCTATCACAAGCAAAAAATAGGTCATCCAGGTTGACTCGTTGGTTCTTACAGGCCAGACAAGACGGGGAGAGGCCGCCACTTTTCCTGTCTTGGGACTTGCTTCTGCAGCATGAGCTTGGCCTGGACCATCGGTGTCCGTGTCCGTGTTAGATATCAGGCTTGTCCTTGGTCAGGCCTAGTTTAGAACCTAGGAACTCCCTGTTGTGCCTGTCCGGCTTTGAGAGCCGATTCGCCACTGTCGGGTGGTGTAGGGTAAGTTATCAGGAACCTCGACCATCTCAGCTGATTAACTAGCAGAATGACTGATTCCCCAGAGCATCACTACATTAATCCCAGTAAATAACTGCAAACGTTGTTCTTTGGTAGAGGACTAAATGCACTCAGAGGATCAGATCACAATTTGATCATCAGGATATTACTCACACTTATTCATGGCCACGGCATCTCGATCCTAATTCGCTCAGACATCGAATCTTCTCCAGCCTGCAAAAGCTTGTTTACCGAAAGCGGACTAGTCTATGAGCCTCCTAACAGCCAGGTGTCGAGACCAATTCCGAACTTGACACTATTGGCGATCGCATTCACATCGATCTCAATCCGACGGAACAACATCCCCAGACAAAGTACAAACACGACGAATACTCCCACCCGATCATCATCCATTATGGCTGAACAAGCTCTTGATCAGATTCGAGACGTCTTCGATGGCCAAATTGTACATGATCCCGCCCGTCGATTTACCTGATCAACAGCTGACTGAAGCTCCACCGTAGGACTTTGAAGGACAGAAGCTGGCCGAGCTCCTTGCTACAGTTCTCCTTGTCATTTCTGGCGTACGTCTTCTTCCTCTCCAAGCTATGCCTGATAACTCGTTGGATTGTTTGGCTGATGATTATAACTAGCTGATCTCCTTCGTTGTCGGCTACATCCTCCAAGATATCAAGCTCGCAGTCTACCTAGGTCTAGGAGGCACGGCGTTAACCTTCCTCGTCGTGGTGCCGGCCTGGCCCTTTTACAACAAACATCCCGTCAAGTGGCTTCCAGCGGGGTACGCATACGATCTTGCAAGCAAAGGAAATCAATAGATTGTATACCGTGCACTGGGCCTCGCTGTGTCATGACCTCTACAGCCTATCGAAGCTGATTATGACACCTCAATAATACTGTTTCCTTGCAGATGCTTTGTTCTTTTCTTCATAATCCATGATATTCGGATACGTCGACCGCATCCTCTTTATCGACCGTACTTCTGGAACTCCCAGTCCCTGTTGTCCAAAGGACAAACAGATCGAGCCTTAAGCCATCTCGAAATACAGTGAAAGTGGAACGCATGCTGTGTCTCTGTTAGCCGAATGACACGAAAAGAAAGGGCGCGTTGCAGCCTTACGTTGCATATCCCCCAGGCCACGGTGCACTCTTCGCTTGTCGCAGATGCTTGGTTTGCCTGGCATTCGATGCCTAATGATTTGTGAGCACTTTGTGATATATATACAACAAGAATCCGAGTAAACATACATAGATCCATGATGTGGTTTCGGCAGATGGCACAGTTGTCAACAACGATGTCCCATGCCCAAAGAGCGACCGCATTCCACTGTTCGTTTCCGGTCAGCATGACTCCGGGAGGCTCACAACTGGCAACTCTGTACCTTCTTGACCTCAAATTTCTTCTTTCCCTCGACACTCTTGCTGCCGGAGCCCTCGCCCTTCTTAGCGACGGGCGCATCGCTCATCTCAACGTCGGCCATGTTTCGCGCTGTGCTGGTCGACCTGCAACACCACGCTATGGTTGGTTTCGTTGACTGATACCAAGTTACACTGGTTGGCTAGAAGCAGTCAGAATTATTCATATGTCGGTAATCTTCATGGACGGAAAATGGGACATGTAGCGCGCAGTTTCGGTTTGAAGGTAAGGAGACGTACGGATATCGTTTGTTCGATAGATCAATATGTCTAGAGTTGTGAATGCTTGTAATTGTCAGCAATGAGAAGAGGATGAATAAACAGCTTCGGGCACGGTTTGCTTTTGTAAAGAAAAAGTACCTTGATGGTGCAGTTGCGAGGAAGGCGAGGGGACTCACAGTGAATTTGGTTCTGAGCAAGTGATGATGCGGCTCTGAACCTCTGCTCTAAAGGCTTCGGATGCCGCAGAGCTCCTCTAGGTAGGCGGGCAGGCGGACAGGCAGCTGGAGGAGTTCAAGCCTTAGGTCACCTCACCTAATTCAGGCTGCGTCCGGCGGGAGAGTGGCGGGGCGGGGTCGATCACAGAGGCCCTATCGCTTATCAGTCGTGATGAGACTTTCGCTAGAAACGAAACATAGAAGTCTCACACATGATATACTCTTATTTGACTGCCTTAAGTCTTGTATCAGGTACTTTGCATTTTAAACATAATTTAAAACCTTTTCGTTACTTCGAATACATGACTCAAATAATAGTAAGGTTCTCTTGCTCGAAAAACAAGGCTGTGAGATGTGACATCTGATCCGCTTCAGGCGCTGAACCTAGAGGCTGACCCACTCTTTGTGCTGGCAATGCCTAGAATCCGCCCGCGTCATTGCTTGGACCGGGCTCGCACTGCGCTTAACCTGACGGGACTGACCTGACTCTTATTAACCCAGACGCTTCCGCCCTTCACTTCTTTTGTTGTTCCCCTCATTACTTGATCTTGAATCATCCACATCACACTTTCTCCTACAGTACAGCCATGGTCAGATTAGTCGACTCTCTCTTCACCAGAACAGTAGTTGCTATATGCTCAATCGTAACACCTGCCTCGATTTTATATTCTCTTTCATACACCCCACCACCATCTTAATCCGGCCCGATCTTTTGGAGTCCTCTTTGGCGCTGTCGCATAGCCAGATACCAACGAACGATTCAATCAATCAATCAATCAACCAGCTGCACACCAAATAACTACGGGACATCGCATATTCGACTTGATTGTTGTCTAGTCTCAGTCTTAGCCTCAGCCGACTCTCATCCCGTGTTTTCCCTCGTGTTTGATCGATTCAACCTGTCACCACAGACGAAATGAGTGAGACCCCATCTCAGCCTACAACCACTCCCGCCCGCCGTCGTAACGGTCGCGGCAATGGCCGTCCTGCTGCTCAGAAGGCTTATGCCTCCGAGAATGACGTCGCCTCAATTGATCCCGCACGTTACGATCGCGCTCCACGAACTCCTCAGAAGGGAGCTGGCACCGATTCTCCTCATGCGCAACTGAGCCATACCAATTCGAAACAGCGACCTAGGAATGCAAACAATAATAACAATAACAACAACAAACACCGTGGGAAGAACGGCCCTCACTCACCCGAGTCTGCTCGACCTGGTCGTCACACTCCACCGCATCAATCTTCATCCATGAAGTCGGTTTCTGCATTCGCTGGAGCCACTTTCCATGCATCTCCTGCGCCATCTGCCTTGCCTCTTCCCAGTTTTGTCTCTCGTTCGGTAACCGAGTCGCCTAGCGTCAGCAAGACATCTCGAGACATCCTACAGGAACCCTCGCCACCTACCGATACCGAAGCGCCAACTCCTTTGCGCCAGAGTGCATCGGGTGTCCAGGAATCTCCGCTCGATTTCATGTTTCGCGCCCACCGTCAAGAGAAGGAACGTCAACGCAGCGAAAGCACTAGCAGCTTCCGCCCTTCAGGCCTCGTCACTGAATCACCCTCTGCCCAGTCTCCCTTTGGGCCTGGTAGTATCCCAAAGCCAGCAAAACTCCCTCAGACAGCCCGCACCCAAACACGCTTCCAGTCTGGTGGCATCGACAGTGTTGAGCTGGACGGAACTCCAGGCCGTCCCATGGGGCCGGCGTTTTCGACACCTTATCAAGAGCGCATTAAGGCTGCTCGCTCTAACTCTGCTCGATCTCCTGCTGATCTATCCGCCACCCAGCCGAAACCCAACGCTGTACCTGAAGATCCTACTGAGGCCCTAAAGAAATTCCTATTTATCGGAAACGGAACAAATGTCTCTCAATCTGCCCCTACTGGATTTGCACCTGCACCTGCACCCGTTACCCCTGCTCAACACTACAACTATGCTAGGAGTGGTCCTAGTGTCCCGGCTCCTTGCGATGGCCGCTCAAACAACCTCCAAGCTATGGAAAACGATCTTCGGCGTATTCTCAAGCTGGACTTGAGCACTGGATCGCCAGGAGCGGACCAGCGTTTGTTCTCATAAGACTTGATGTCATGGAGTGATTATTCGTTCGGCGTTCTTACTGCACCTCTTCTGCATAGCTTTTTAACTGCCATCAATTCCCAGACGGCATCAACGGAACGTGATATTTGGCGGGACGGTTTTCATTGTCTAGGGGTTAAGGTATACCGGCATTGTGTCTAAGTTTTGGCGTTATCAGAGCGAGGATTGAAGATATATTGAACGGACGAATGGTCTTACAACAGATGATGGGATCATAGCTTGACGTATACAGTCGAATCAAACAGAGGCACCTCTGATCTAGAGACAGATTGATCTCGCCGTATCTATGGCGCCTGTATCAAAATGGAACAACCTCGATCGAATGGGGTTTGGCGAAGGAGAAGAGAGAATTCCCTCCTGTTTCTTTGGAACGTAAACCATAGGCGAGATTAGACTTAAATACAACTTTGAGCGTTGGTTCAACTTTGTTGATACAACGTATCAATTGATTCTTGATATTGGAAGAGTGAACTACCGAGACACATCCTGAGGAATAGATACAATCATCTTGTGTAGGGCCAAACCAACCTCAAGGAACTGAAACGGATTGACGTAGAAAGGCCAAGCTTTCATACAACACACCATTCCCTGTCTCTGATTGTTCCCAGATCCATTAACTGGGACTTTCGCCTGGAATATATCCCCTACTAATAGCGCCAACACATTAATAGTGACGAACTGAATGCCTTCAGTCTGGGGTGCGGCTTGCTTCGGGGTAGCGGTCATTCCAAAGATCCGCTCCTGCCCCGCCATTCATCCCACGCTTGCACTTGCCCGCACTCATGGAGGAAGGTACCAAGGCGGGTACGTACTTGGTTGACACCAACGGGCACTTCCCTGCTCTCGTGACGAGAAACTCATCGACCTTTGATTTCAGAGCTCGATTCTCTGCAACTGAGGATAACTTCATCAGTGTCGTTTTTTTTTTGTTCGTGGGTAATTGTGTTTGCGGCATTTCCTCCCTGTGCAACATCAATTCGACTTGCACTATCAAGGTAAGTGAGCCAAACCAACAAAAGATCGTCCAAAGCATGCAACTTATCTGGGTCATGACTCCATCCCCAAGCCCCTCATTAGCTGTCCTCCTCATAATTACGCTTCCCCGTGATACTCAAACCTCACTCTTGTGTGAATGTTTCCAGCCTTTGTCGAATTGTCCTTCTGAGTTCTCAGATTGCTCTCATCATATCTCACCAGCCGCCTCTCAAAGATTAAGATATCTCTTGTCACCGACCCTGTACTGACTCTTATCTGTGAAGACCTTGAGTCCTGAGCTCCCAGTTCGCTCTATTGCTTATCTTCAAGCCTTGAGTGTATTTATCCCCATTCGAGGTGTCCTGTTGCCTGCGTCTGATTGTCAATGCTTTTCCAGACTGCGACTTCACTCCTCCGTTCAGCTCCACGACGATTAGCCGCAGCTTCACGCCTATCCTCTCGCCGTTGGATCTCATCTGAAACAATGACCAAGCTCGACACTACCTCCAGGCTCACCCGCCTGAGAGGCTTGATGAAGGAGCGCAATGTTCATATTTACAGTGAGATTTCATGATCTGCACCTGCTATTCACTACTGCAGTACTAACAATGGCTTATAGTTGTCCCTTCTGAGGATAGCCACTCGTCTGAATATATCGCAGATTGTGATGCCAGACGTGCTTATATCTCTGGGTTCACTGGTTCTGCTGGATGTGCTGTTGTTACACTTGAGTCTGCTGCTCTTGCTACTGACGGTCGTTACTTCAACCAGGCCACATCTCAACTCGATAGCAACTGGACACTTCTTAAACAAGGCCTCCAAGACGTTCCTACATGGCAAGACTGGTCTGCTGAGCAGTCTTCTGGTGGAAAGAATGTTGGCGTTGACCCAACACTCATCTCCGGTTCAACTGCCAAGAACCTTGCCGAGAAAATCCGAAAGAATGGCGGAGCTGAGCTTGTACCTGTTGATGGAAACCTTGTCGATCTGGTATGGGAAGATGAGCGTCCTTCTCGTCCCTCGGAACAAGTTATCATCCAGCCTGACGAGCTTGCAGGAGAGTCTGTCCTGAATAAGCTCACCAAGGTCCGCCAGGAGCTGGAAAAGAAGCACTCCCCTGGTTTCTTAGTATCCATGCTGGATGAGATCGCCTGGCTGTTCAATTTGCGCGGTAACGATATCCCTTACAACCCCGTCTTCTTCGCGTATGCTACTGTTACCCCTGATGCTGCTAAGCTTTACATCGACGAAGCCAAGCTGGACGACAAGTGCCGCTCGCACCTCACCTCGAACAAAGTCGACATCAAGCCATACGAAGCTATCTTCGACGATGCCCAGGCACTGCACGCCGCTCATGCTGAAAAGAGCAAGTCTGGCGACAAGGTTCCTACTGGCAACTTTCTCATTTCCAACAAGGGCTCATGGGCACTTAAGCGTGCTCTGGGAGGAGACTCTTCGGTCGATGAAATCAGAAGTCTAATTGGCGATGCCAAGGCCATCAAGACTGAGGCTGAATTGAAGGGTATGAGGGATTGTCATGTGAGAGATGGCGCTGCACTCATCCAGTATTTTGCCTGGCTTGAGGACCAGCTTGTAAACAAGAAGGCCACACTTGACGAGGTTCAAGCGGCCGACAAACTTGAAGAGCATCGAAAAGAAAAGAAGGACTTTGTCGGCCTCTCATTCCCCACCATCTCCTCTACCGGTGCAAAGTAAGTTCGATTCAAAGCGACATAAGAGAGATTCATGATACTTGACCATTAAGCGTTGCAAGCTTTCACTGACCATCAAATGCAGCGCTGCAATCATTCACTACGGCCCTGAGCGTGGCAACTGTGCCACTATCGACCCTGAAGCTATCTACCTTTGTGATTCAGGAGCACAATACCGCGATGGTACCACGGACACCACTCGTACCTTGCACTTTGGAAAGCCTACAGATGCAGAGAGGGAGGCGTACACTTTAGTTTTGAAAGGTCACATCTCTTTGGATCAAGCCATTTTCCCTAAGGGAACCACAGGCTTTGCACTCGATAGTCTGGCAAGACAACATCTTTGGGTATGTTATTAGCAGCAACTTATGAAGTGTGACCTCTAACCAAGACTATAGAAAAACGGGTTGGACTACAGGCATGGTACCGGACACGGAGTTGGTTCATTCCTGAATGTCCATGAAGGACCCATTGGTATTGGCACTCGTGTCCAATATGCTGAAGTAGCACTGGCTCCAGGAAATGTGCTGTCAAACGAGCCCGGCTATTACGAAGATGGGAAGTACGGCATCCGAATAGAAAACATGGTTCTCGTCAAGGAGGTCAAAGCCAAGCACTCCTTTGGTGACAAGCCGTTCTTGGGCTTCGAGTACGTGACGCTTGTGCCGTACTGCCGGAACCTGATCGACACAACGCTACTCACGTCTGAAGAGAAGGAGTGGCTCAACACTTACAACGCAAAGGTTCTGGAGAAGACGCAAGAATATTTCGAGGGAGACAATGTGACATTGGCCTGGCTCAAGAGGGAGACCCAGCACATTGAGTGAAGTAACGGAATCGGCCTGAGCAATACTATAGACGTACGAAGGTAGCTAGGATGAATGTTACAAGAAACGACGCAGTGAATAATGGCCTTTCCTTGCTCTTGTTCCATACCGAGCTATTCTTCAAGAGCTTCTCGATACCAAGAGTCCGAGGAATATCCAAACCCCAGCGAGATGCGACCTGAATACGTGAGACGACATTGAGTGAGCCTATTGGTAGAGGGTGACTTACATGGATGGAAAAGGCAATTAATCCAGTGAGAAGTGCGAGGGTGCGGGAAAAGAGGGCTACTACAACGCCGATTCCAAATCCTTGAGACAGACTGTGAGCTTCGATTCATATGACACAAGGTGAGGATGACCAACCAGCAACACTTCCACTAGAAAGCTGACGAACCGTATCAGGCGAAACCTCTAGAGGACGTCGGCGTGGAGGAGGCCCTGTAGCAAGTGTCGGGGCATCACAACGGATGACGGGTCGAGTTGCAATGAAAGCTCCTACGCAAGTCGCAGGGGCAATGCCTCGGCTCATGGCCCGGAAGGCTACTCGAGAGTTGAAGGCTCGATGCATGTTCATGGAAATAGCTCGTTTTGAGAATGATATAGCCAATTGATGATATGTAATTGGGAAAGGAAAGTTTTAAGTGTAGGTCGAGAGCTAGAGAAAGCTCGAGTCTGAATTGCTTATTACGTCAGTGACAGTCTAACAATCATGAGCTCTCAGCCAATGACTGATCAGCGTGGGGAGAACAAAGAATATCCAGCTCCCTTGAACATGACACAAAAGAGTTCGTAGTACCTCGGTAACAAATTTTAAGATGACAATTGATTGACCGCAAATATTACATTTACAGGAAAGGGCTCTTTCTGCCAGCTTCGGGTATCGAAGCCAATGAAACCCTCAAAGTAGTAGGAAGGAAGAAAGCAAAGTAAATCAGCCAACACAAAAGGCCAGCAGGTATATCTCGAAGCGCCCCGACGCCATCCATAATCCCAAAACCAAAGTCTCGTGAGTAACCATCCCGATCCTTGACTCTTTTTTCATTTATTTTTCACATGTTGTTTCCGTAAATCCGTTCTCTAACCCAGTCCACCCCAGATACCGCGTATCCTCCTTGCTAGTTGAATATCCTTCTGCATGATTGTGACACGCTTGGCGTGGATTGCGCATAGGTTGGTATCTTCGAACAGATGCACCATGTAGGCTTCAGCAGCTTCTTGCAGTGCCATGATGGCTTGGCTCTGCCAGCGCAAGCCTTCGTCTCGTGGGCGCATCGTCAAAGCGATTTCTCGAACCTGTTGGCCCAGTGTTAGTTTCCAATTGAGCGAAATCTAAGGCATCGAGCAACTGACAAGGCGCGCAAATGGGAGCTTTCGGAGGAGCAGTTTCGTGCCACTTTGGTAATGTCGAATTTCGCGAAGAGCGACTGTGCCAGGACGGTATCGACGCTTTGCGCGAACGGGAACAGGATCGCCAGCTAATATCATTGTAAGTTAAAAAAGATACTAGGTCAAATATGAGTTTCTGAGAATCCATACCTTGAACGTCACTCGGCCGCGACTTGCCCGCGCCGGAGGCTTTAGATTTCCTGGGAGGCATTGAAAGGAGCGTGAAGAAAGAACAAAGAGTGTCCTGTACTAGCTAGAAGAGCTTTACAGCAAAGACAGCAACATGCGGAAAAGGAGTGAAGCAATTGTCTTGCACAAAACGCTCGAGTTCGATCAATACAATTCTCGTTAAAAGGAGGTGTAGGAGAGAAGCGAGAGTGTTGGTGGTGGAATCGCAAGGTGGGAAGGACCACCGCGATTATGGGGAGCGTGTGAGCGCGCCTTCCCCCAGCCCCGCGATTTTATTTAATTGATTTCCAGCCACTGTCATGAACCTGATGCACGGCCACATATCCGCACCGCCACTTCTAGCATGACCAAGCGAGGTACGTATTCCCGGACGGAATGGTGGGGGTCCCTGGACGCACCTAAGTTACCGGTACCCGTCAGTCTCTCAACGTGGCTCGTCCTATTCCGTCATCTTTCAGTTCAACAACAACTTTACATACCTAGACTTTTACAGCATCTGACGCCTTGCTCTTAATAAGAGTCGTTGGTGTTGCCTGATACATAAAATCGACCTCTACTCCTTCCGTTTTATGAAATAAATCCATTACTCGACTACCTTGCTCATATATAGCCAACCTCCGATCATCACTTGGCTGTTCCCACTCAGCTACAGCATCACCGAAAGGAAGATATTCCAATCAACATAGCACTGCGTAAAAGTCTCACCGATGGATCAAGTCATGGATGGAGGCCGACTGCCTCTCGAACAATGGTTCTGGGAGATGCCAACATGCACTCGTTGGTGGACAACCGCTACCATTCTGACTAGTGCCCTGGTTCAATGCCAGATGGTCACTCCTTTCCAACTATTCTACAGCTTTCGCGCGGTATTCGTCAAGTCACAGGTTCGTATTCTTCCAGACTAATCATTCGTTTGTTTTTACGATAGACGATTTGAGATGCGAAGGCTTATGCTGACATTGCACCCTCTTACAGTACTGGCGACTCTTGACAACGTTTCTCTACTTTGGCCCCTTCTCGCTCGATCTACTGTTCCACGTCTACTTCCTTCAACGATATGCGCGCCTCCTAGAGGAGTCATCGGGTCGATCGCCTGCTCATTTCTCGTGGCTACTACTTTATTCAATGGCCTCCTTGATCGCTCTGTCGCCCCTTGTTTCCATGCCATTCCTCGGTCACCCGCTCTCCTCGACGCTGGTCTACATATGGTCCCGACGCAACCCAGAGACTAGACTGAGCTTCCTAGGCTTACTTGTGTTCACCGCGCCCTACTTGCCCTGGGTGTTGATGGGTTTCAGCCTTGTGTTGCACGGCACTATCCCCAAGGATGAAATCATGGGTGTCGTTATTGGACATGTTTGGTATTTCTTTTCTGACGTTTACCCTCCTCTGCACAACGGTTCTCGCCCCCTTGACCCTCCTAACTGGTGGAGGCGTCTGTTTGAGGCTCGACCTCGAGTTGACGCGGATGATAGTACAAACGACATCATGGTTGCCGGGGCTCGAGAAGCTGCGCCCCGAGACCTTTAAAGGGTCAACGACAGAGAAGGAGATTCGTTTCAGCAAGGAACGATAGAGCCATTATGCTCAATATTTGCTATGAATTGGCGTTCAGGATTGGTATGTTTTGGAAGCATGGCACCGGACAGATGTATTGCCGATAGCGTTGATTTACTATGGCGTTGTCAGATTGGAATGAACAATAGCCTTTGAGCATCCGGTAAAACTGGTGGTCATTTGTGGTTTACATAGGCATCATGATGCTGTCTCATGATATGATAGTAAATTTGTATCAGTGCACGCAAGCGCTAGTACCGTCCGTCCACTGTAGTTCGAGTGGACACCAAATAAGACACAAGTCCTACATAACCTCTGGGTTGATTTACGAGCTGATCCATTGAGGGCTCGGCCTTTGAAGGCGTGTGTTTGTGATGTCAGCGCAACAGGGACTCTGGGCCTTTACCTTTTACGTTTTGGTGTAGCGCTGATGCGCTGACGTCGCTAGCCTTTCGCCAGGCATTCCATGGTTGACCCCGCCATGGAGCCATTGGGACGCTGTAAAATGTACATAAACAGCTTGGGACCCCGGTCATTTCAAAGCTTCAAAAAGAGCTTCCACCTGCTGACACTTTTGGTCTTGCAAGACCATTTTACCGTACCGTAATTCTCTCTTACTGAATAGTCTCTATATCCGTGGCCTAAATTATTAACCATGCGAGCTTACTTTTACGACGGCCTTCCTGTGAGTATAACCTCTCTTTGCTGAACGATCCAACTAACAAAAAGTTACAGGGCGACCAGCGCCTCCCTCATAACTCGGGCATGCCCGTCAGTGTTGACGATCTCATGAACATCGGTGTCTACTACTACCATCTCCCTGAGCTCGAGTCGGTCGACAACCTGGCCAAGGAGCGTGGCTACAAGAACCGCGACGAGATCACTGTCTCTCCCCAAGCCATGGGTGACATCTACGAAACCAAGGTCAAGTCCTTCTTCGCCGAGCACTTGCACGAGGACGAGGAGATTCGATATATTCGTGGTGGCCGTGGATACTTTGACGTCCGAAGCAAAGACGACGACTGGGTGCGCGTTTTGCTCGAGAAGGATGACCTTCTTATTCTACCTCCTGGTATTTACCACCGCTTCACCACTGATGAGAGCAACGTAAGTCAACAGAGATACTTAACTGCATACCAAAAAAAAAAAAAAAAAAAGCTGACGATCACAGTATGTCCATGCCATGAGACTGTTCAAGGAGGACCCCAAGTGGACGCCTCTGAACCGAGGCCCCGATGTCGACAAGAACGAGCACCGACAGGAATACGTGAAGCAGTTCCTGGGTGAGCCCAACCAGTAAGAGGCCCACGTGGGAGTCAAACCAGCATTTGACAGTAGTGGAGGGTGCTAAGTACCAGGAGAACGACCGAATTACCAGTCCAACTGAAGAACCACCAAACATGAACATCGCCGGTTGAAGCTGTGACGGAAGAGTGTAGGGTTGACGTGATCTGGGAGCTGTTTTACGTCATTTTGCATGGTCTGTCTGTCACAGACCACAAACATACGACTTGTGAGCGGTTTTGCGAGATCTGAACTGAAAACAACTCAGTCGCAAATTGGTGGCAGTCTGAGCAAGTCGATTGTCAATCGTTTACATATGATATTTTACGATCTATTTCTGAGGGGATGAGTTAGCGGGAGTTTGGAGAAATCCGGTTCCATATAGCATACAAATACATCATATCTTATCTATTCATCTTTGTTCCAAACTGAAGCTTTCACTGAAATGCTAGTAAGCTCCTACAACATTTGCAGGGCATATCTATCCTATGTGAGGGTCGCAAACTTTTTACGAGTGACCGCATCATGGCCTGGTCAGCAAAGAATACCGCCCATAGCATTGGCTCCAGCGTATTTCATGGATCGTTGCGGGGCGTGTAAGTGGGAGTATCTTGCAGTAGTTAGAACATGCGGCAAAGGCGCAGTTCCTTGAGATCTAGTTGTTCCTCGGCGAATCAAACCTTGAGCTGTCTTGAAATCAAGTTTGAGGGCATCTAGAACACTCTCAAGATACTTTGAGCGACCTGGACTAGGTAAGCTTTGATGCTGCGAAAGCATGAACTGGACATGGATCCAAGGCATAGCATGGATGGACTCATTCTCGAAGAGCATAACTTACAATTCAAGATAAAGGATATTGCTTTTCTCGGACACTTCTAATCATGCTTTAATTCTCCGTCAGATTGTGTTCAAGGCGAGAAGTTCAGTTGACATCTAGAGTTTGTCCATATAAAGGCATTGTGATTAGCACTGATACGTACAGTTTTGGACCCCGCCGGAGCATAACACGAGACCCTGGAGTTTTATGGTTTACAGCTTTCAAAGTAAACCTTCTCTTCAATTCAGCCAAAACAACAACAACAAACTTCAATAACGGGAATCTACAGCTCAATTGCGGATACCAAGACTCAACGCAAACGATGGATACACGAACCGAAGTCTCGGATGTTACTGAGGCATCATCCAGGCCGCGAATAGCGCAGCTTCCTGCGAGCTGTGATCCTCCACAGCCCAACACCCCAGTGAAGCAGTTAGTCTGGGTGGTATGATTCATCTCCTGCACTACACAGCGCTCTCTCATTCGTTCGATATGCTCACCGTTGGATGTACAGATCTTTGGAGGTACGGGTCAGATGGGGCACTCCCTTGTCAAATGTGCACTTTCACATGGAGATTTGGTAACGTCGGTTGGTCGCGTATTCGAGACAAGTCTAAAAGACATGGAGAATATCCATGAGAACTGTCTCGGCGCGTTGTGCGACGTCCGCGCTCGCGAATCTGTGAATCGTGTCATCGAGCGTACGCTCCAGCGCTTTGGCCGTATCGATATTGTCGTCAATTGCTCTGGCTACGGTGTCATAGGCGCCTGCGAGGACCAGGATGAGCATGACATACGTAACCAGTTCGAGACCAACTTCATGGGCACGCTTCACATTATTCACGCTACGCTGCCGTACTTCCGCAGGCAGAATGCAGGCCGCTATCTCATCTTCAGCTCAACGTCTGGCGCTTTGGGCGTCCCTGGCCTGGGCCCTTACTGCGCGACCAAATATGCGGTGGAGGGCCTAATCGAGGCCATGCTCTATGAGACGGATGCGTTCAACATCAAAGCTACACTCATCGAGCCAGGCCATGTGAGACCCGAAGAGCCAGAGATGCAAGATACGTCGCTTCCAACGTCCTGGGGTCATTTCCTCGTGAAACCACCCAGCGAGACATACGGGCATCCAACATCACCAGCGCTACATGCACGAAGGATTGTTCAGTGGCTCGGTGACAAGTATCGACCCACGAGCGCTATCAAATGCGCTGAACTCGTATGGCAACTCGGACACTGCTCGTATCCACCGCTACGATTATTATTGGGAAGCTATGCAATCGAGAGCATTCGCGATCGCATGCGGTCTGTGACAGAAGAGCTGGAGGATTGGAAGCATCTCAACTTTCCTGCCGGACCAGACGATGACAGAGAAGTTGGAGAGGAGGCAGCGGCAGCAGCAGCGGCAGCAGCACCTGAAACCAACGAGGCTGCTGCTTCTTGATATTTGAAATGAACATTGTCGTTAGTTATGGGTGCTGTGCTAAGGCACTTCTGAGGCGCAGGCGCAATTGGATTTCTCGTACCGGGTGGAGTGACTATTAAACGCTAATTCTATGATACAGTACAACACAAATTCTTTTACGAGCTTACTACTTATTATTTCTGGACCCTGGATGAGATGCCGTGTGATCTATACGGATCTGGACCGAGAAAAGGCTGAACATTCTACTCCCTTACTCTCTTACCTATTTCATACCATTCAACAACATAAAGTTTACCCCTGTCCGGATGACTCAGCAGGAACGCGCCCGAAATCCAAGTCAAGTTTGCTCCACGTACCTCGTACTTTCTTTACAGGGCTCTTAGTTAAAGGGAGAAAAGATTCCAACGGGGGTAAAGGGCTGAACTCTTTGTCCAACGCGCTGTCATTTCCTCCTCTTGCACAATTTGCGCCCACGATACCACCTAGAACGAAGCGATCATCTACGAAAACGATCATACAGCGTCTCGTTTCGAATCTCGACAGTTAGACCCGGTACTCCCGTCGCATCCCAGCGCTGATCTTGACGAATTAACTCACACGATCGTTTCGTTTCGTCGTTTCGTCCGCTGCCATAATGACCGATAAGAAGAACGAGGACTATGTTGTCCAAATGGGCAATGACAACTATGACAAGAATGAGAAGCCTTCTTTCCAGGCGCGATCACCCCCTCCCGCTGCATACGGCTCAAGTCCAGTCGGCGGTCTTGAGCAGTTAGAAAAGAGCCCGCCCTTGTCTATCTTGGCGTATTGTTTGTCTTCGATCAGTATGACCGTTGTCAACAAGTATGTTGTGTCGGGCACTTTCTGGAATCTCAACTTCTTCTACTTGACTGTTCAGGTAAGGAAATCTCCAGGAGGAGGTATTGTACCAGGGTTTTTGACATCAGATTGTGTATAGGCTGTCGTGTGTATTGGTGCAATTACTCTGTGCAAACAACTGGGCTTGATCAAGGTTCTTGCTCCCTTTGACTCTGATCGAGCAAGAAAATGTACGTTCTTCAGGTTCAGATCGCTTCCTTCAGTAACTAACCCGAAAAAGGGTTCCCCATCTCTCTTCTCCTCGTCGGCATGATCTACACCAGCACAAAGTCGCTCCAGTTCCTCTCAGTCCCCGTTTATACCATCTTCAAGAACTTGACCATTATTGTCATCGCATACGGCGAGGTCCTTTGGTTCGGTGGCAGCGTTACACCTCTGGCCCTGCTCTCATTTGGTCTCATGGTACTGAGCTCGATCGTCGCAGCTTGGGCAGACATTCAGAGTGCCATCAACGGTGACTTTGGTACTACCGACTCAGCTGCTGCTGTCTCTACGCTCAACGCTGGTTATGCCTGGATGGGAATGAACGTTTTCTGCAGTGCTGCCTACGTGCTCGGCATGCGCAAGGTCATCAAGAAGATGAACTTTAAGGACTGGGACAGTAAGTCATGCAATGTCGGTGTGGGAATGTTTCTGTTGGCTAACCTTGTGCAGCCATGTACTACAACAACCTCCTCACGATCCCTGTTCTAGTTGTCTGTTCGCTTCTTACAGAGGACTGGTCCGCCTACAATTTCTCTCGCAACTTCCCCGACGATACCCGCAACAAGATCATTATTGGCATGATCTACTCTGGCCTTGCGGCTATCTTCATCTCTTACTGCTCTGCATGGTGCATTCGCGTCACCTCCTCAACAACATATTCTATGGTTGGAGCCTTGAACAAGCTTCCTATTGCAATCAGCGGCCTTGTTTTCTTCTCAGCCCCAGTCACTTTCGGCAGTGTCTCTGCCATTTTCCTCGGCTTCATTAGCGGTTTGGTCTACGCCTGGTCCCGCGTGCGACAATCCATGTCCTCTGGAGGATCATTGCCTACTGTGCGGCCTACGATGAGCGCGAGCGCCAAGAGCAACCGCGATGCCAACTCTTAGATAATATGATACAAGGCGCAACTTTAGAAGTTAATGATAAACGCGTTGGTGATTACGACAGATGACAGACAATTTTCAAGGACTCCAACGTGTTTATTATTGATGCTGCCCTATACTGAAGCTCTATATGAGCACGTTCTACCACCACGCCTGACCATAAGACTGCGGGTAACCATGTGCTGTCGGGTGCAACGCCTGTGGCTGGTACTGCAGCTGTGGCTGGTGCTGTGGTTGTGGTCGGTATTGTTGTTGTGGCTGGTGCTGCTGCTGTGGCTGGTACTGCAGCTGTGGTTGGTGCTGGTGCGGCTGTGGCTGATACTGTAGTTGTGGCTGGTGCTGCGGCTGTGGCTGCTGTTGTGGCTGCTGTTGGAGTGCCGGTTGCTGTGTGTGTGTGGGAAAGCCAATAGGAGCATACTGGTGATCCATGTTTGGCATGTAGGCGCCGCTCAAGTAGGTACCGTGTTGAGCTTCCTCGATCGGGGCGCGGAAGTTCTGACCTGTCAGGAGCTCGGTTCGAGGGACGACGCCGCGGAGTCTGGGATCATCCACAGGACTAGGCAAAAGACCAGCCTTGACGTCTTCCACATGGTAGTAACTGACGAGGTGGTGAGGCACGCCTTGGTACGTGATGCTGATAGTCTTCTTGACCAGTCCTTGTTCCTTGAAGTCGTACGAGTCGACGAGTGAACCGACCAGATGGCGCTCATCATCACTGGGCACAGTGGTGTACTCATTACCATGTTCCAGGCCTGTTTGGAAAGGGACAGAGTTTCGTGGTCGTGATTTAGTGATGCCTCCAGATTGTGTGGTTGACTTGCCGTTCCTTCCCCTGGCGCGCTTCTTCTCTCCAGGTGGGAAGGGCTTCTCAAGCTCCCGGTACAGCAGATAGTTGCCAAGGATACGGCTGGGGCTCCATGAGATGCTGTCAGTCCAGCGCTTGATTCCAGAAGCATGCTCTTCGTAGACGAAGATATTGCCGCTTTTGATGAGATCTTGACGCTCACGGTCATGTGGTCGACGAGGAACATGAAACAGTTTGCCAGAGAGACATGCCTCAAAAATGATCAAGGCATCAGTGGTGTCCCCGATGAAACCGTAGAACGTCGGTTGGAGTGGCATGGTTCCAGACATCTTGGAAGGAATAGCCTTCAAGGCTGGAGGCAGATGGGGGGAGAAAGGGGGAGATAGTGGAAGGGTAGAGTGAGTGCAAGTGTAAGTGATCTTAACCTTGGACTCGAAGTCAGTCTCCAGGAAATGGGGAAAGTAATCTCAGTGATCTCGAGAGGTTGACTTTGGGGGAGAAAACTTCAAGTCTAAAATCGACGATGGCCTCAGTATTTATAGGAATATGGGCCGCGCTGTGTTGCTCCCAAGAATCCTCATGAGGCGAACACTGCCTTTCAACAGGTTGCTGTGACAAATAAGATGGGAGTAATCGTAAGGCTTGTTCGAATCGTCAATTCAGCTGCATATGTTGATAGGCGCTTCTCTCTAATCGTGAGAGCTACCGCACCGAACAATGGCGAAAGTTGAGCTCTCGAACTCAACAAAGTAAACCGCACCAAACAGTGCGTGCAAATGGGTATCACGAGGGCCTTTGTAAAAAGGTTATTTTCAAGGAAGAAAGTATTCCAGTTGTGGCGGGCGGGTAGGCGTATAGGAGAGCGTGAGCTGTTTCTTTATTTCACCATTGACTTCTGGGTGAAGAATCTCTGAGAAAGTGAGGGCACGAAGTAATTGGTTCGAGGTATGTGCGTATTTCGTTCAAGCGTTAAGTGGCAATGATTGTAAAAGCCAGTTGGTGAAAGTAAACAATGGATGGTCGACAAGAAGAAGAAGAAAATTATAAAGAACAAGAGAATAATGTGGATGAAATGTGGTGAAGTGAAGTTGAGGTGTAAGTGGATGGCTTGGATGTAATGTAGTCGAATGCAATGCAATGCACTTACCCAAGTAGGCAATCTACACTACAGGGCAGGCTAAAGGCTAGTTGCACTTGCGCTTCCATGGCATAGATGGATGGACTCAAGCTTGGATTTAGGAAAGAGCAGGTAGGTACCTAGTAATTCCCTGGGCTTGAATCTGGGGCCTGGCTGGCCTGGCACTTGTTGGCTGGCTCCCGTCTGCGTCAACCAAATCCTGGGTAGTGTCTGTATCCGGCCTTTCCATCAGCTTAGATGCCGTTCCATATCCACGCGTGTCATTCACATTGTCATTGCCATCCATGTCGTTTGGACCTCCTAGGAAGGAGGAGGAGGGAAATGGAACTGCAAGCAGGTACCTAACCTCCCTACGGTACGGTACGGTACCCGCGGCCAGCTCTCTCCAGGGATATTGGGGATAGGTCGGGTCAGTCAGTACGGCAGTCCATACAGGTGGTATTGAGTTGGTAGGGCAGCAAAAAGATGTACGGCAAGGTATGGGGAAGGTACGTACCCGCCCGCCCGCCTGCCTGCCTCCTCACAGACTCCTCGTCTCTACCTTACTAACTTACCTAGGGGTCAGGCCCATTGGAAACATCCTGATATCACCATTGGGCAGGTACTTCCGCTGACTGGACAGATACCCCAGCAAAGCCCCTTCATCACGCTGTCGGAGCATGTGCCGAAGTACCTCAAGAGCCTACCTACCGTATCGGTACGTGCTTGTAGTGGTGTCTCACACCTGCTGGTGAGGTGGGTGGTGGCTGTCCGGATCTACTCTAGGTAGTTGCGGGCTGTTTGTATGCGGCCGAGAGACCGCGACCTGTGTCGAGGTCAGGTACCTGCCATCATGTTGGTGTTCCCTCCAGGTCGGATCTGTGTCTCACTCTGGAAGAATTCGATCTCTATTTGAGCAAGGGCCTGGGCGAATCATTCTCTCAAGATGGTTTCTTCAATTCAAAAGAAGCTCTTCACTATCTAAATTCTAAGATTCAGATCTAGTTAGAGCTGTTCAGCCCTTCTCCAAATCGACGGGAAGCTTAATGCAATGAAAACCTACATCCCCATCCCCCGTCCCATCCCAGCTGGAACTACCTCACCTCGTCCCTGAAGGCTGTACCTCTCCTCATGAGAAGTGCTTTGGAGGTGGATTTGGCTTTGATAGAGACACGCCTGGAGACACGTCCTCCACCCCCTGCACCCCTCCTCCCTTCATCCTCCTTATGCATCAGTGACGCACTATGCCGTTCTTTCTTGAGAATATGCCATCACAATGCCTCAAGTTATGATTTTCGTCTATCTCGATATGTATGTGGCATGTAAGTGATGTGTCTGATTCGGCGCTGCAGAATAAATCCTCCCTCTCCAACAATGCCACTCTGTTCTTTGTTATCATCTTCGACTACATTCTACACCATCATATGTGAACTCGTTTGAGCCGCCATGTCATTGGATGTTATCATCACTTTTCGTCTGTGCTGTTTTTGACACTCATCAACCCCTCTTCCCTCTTCTTTCTTTTTTGGATGATTTCTGTTATCCACATTGGAGAAAGAAAAAAGGGCCAAAGCACCACAGCCCCCATAATCCGACAACCATCACAGCTCACTCACATCCCTTCTGGGCTGAGCTTCACTCTCGAGTCCATTACAGTATCAATCTTGAGTCGGCTCTTCTATTGTTCGGGGGTGTATAACAAAAGGTCCCTGACATGAATTCCGATTTATCCATTTCTCTTGGCTTGGGCTCCAATCTTGAACAAGTCTGTATCAAAATGAAATCACAGGAAGATGCCGAAGTAGTAGAGGGAGTAGTTAGTGTGATTAGTTAGTCAGTTCGTGGTTTAGTCGATGATTCCAGATTTTCTCCTTCGCCCGTTGGATATGCAAATCTCGCTGGTGTTGGGTTGGCTTGGACTTGGTGTTGGTGTGTGCCTGGCTGATCCCTGTGTTCTGGCCTTTCTCGTCTCGTCTTAGGCGAGCTGTCTGGATGTCTGGGTCTGGTTGTCTTGCTCGCCTTGCCTTAGCCTACCGTGCCTTATCCTGCCGCGCGTCAATTGAGTTACGGAGTCTGATGCGGATGGATATCATGGCGTATTCCATGTAAAGTCATCTCATATCATGTCACCTCAACTGCCAGGCCATGGGTGCCGGTGTTTGATGCTCTGCTGTGCCTTATCGGCATTTAGACTAAACACCGCCTCCCGTGCCATGTCGAATCTGCGACGCGACGCTGCTGCCCAGATTGATTAATTGATTCCATAACTGTGGAACGCGCGCGCGCAAGCAGCTCCCCGGACCGACAGCTGCTACCTTACTCCCGCAAACAGGAACACAAAAAATAGCAGGAGCCCATGTCTTAGGCATGGACATGGACCTGAAAAATGATGAAAAATGAAAACGAACATGGTAAAGTCCATGGACATGGTATGCAGCGACCTCCGGCATTGGCTTTGGTGCCTGTCTTATGGGTCTCTGGGGCGTTCTTAGTGCTCTCCACCCGTTCCTCTTCCCAGGTACCTTTTTGGGGCTTCTGATTGGCTGTTGCACCTGCCGTACTGCAGGCCATCTCTGCCTTTTACCGTGATTGGCTACTCTTTCTCCTCTTGGCTGCCACACCCTGATCATTTGTCCCTTGTCCTTGCCCTTTGTTCTCTGCTGCTTTTGTCTCGAGGGAAAAAGGGAAGGGTAGGGACTGGGACTGGGAAAGAACGCACGCACAGGTGGGAGAGCCGACTGACGAGGCGGCACTCAGCCTCCCATTGGGTGGGATTCCCCAATTGGCTTTTGTAATCGTGTGTCATCGCTTGAGACCATTCGCATGGGTTTTACTGTCAGCCCGCCAAGTACCGAGATACCTTGTCCTGGGCTTCATGATTTGATTTGCAAATTCGACCCCAAACCCCCAGTTCGAGATACTGATGCTCGTCGTGCTTCCGTCTTCCGTTTGAAATGATCCAACTCCCATCTTGGCATCGTTTGTACCCTGTCGCATCCCAATCGCATCCCATCGCATCCCATCGCATCGCCACGATACTAATACACAGAGAATCAACTCATTACGTCTCCTCATCTCCATCTATATTCCTGGACCTGGCAACACCTGGGTCATTAATCCCTAGAGTCATTCTATAGTAATTAAACTAACCACCTTACGGGATATATGGTGGTATCACTATCATCGGTAAACGAGCGTGACCTTGCTATCAACCTGTTCACATGCCCGCAACGCAATACCGTTGCGTCGACTGATCAATGATACCGAATCCGAAACATGAGCATCTGCAGATTGCCAGATATGTACATACGGCTGGTACGGTACTGCGCAGAGGCCAACGCCCATCCAATCCATCTTACAATACCGTAATATCAAACTGAGACGACAGGGTTATTCACAACTGCCGTCCTCAACATCTATGACCTGTTCAGTGCGTTTTCTGCCCTTCTTCTTCATCTTTGATCGCTTAGTGCCCCAAAAATGGCTAACAAACGCGCCCTGGTCGATCAGCCCTGCACACTGTAAAACCAGGGCTCTTCACCCTCACGATAGCGTCGACCTGGTCGTCGCATTGGTATTGGGACTGTGCCCTCGAAAACAGTGCCGCTCATCATGTCTGAATCTGTGTGTGCATCTGTGTCCGTGAGCCCTTCCTCCTGTTTCTGTTTCTGATTCTGCTTCTGCATCTGGTAGTGGTGATGATTATGTTGGCTCGTATCACATCCCTTGTCCGGCTCCCCCGATATCTTCCCCGCCCGCACCGATGACCGTGCCTGGCCCTCTGCCGCCTTGACCTTGGTGCTGGAACTGGCACCGGCGCTGGCGCTGGCGCTGGTGCTGAAGCTGGCGGAGACGGTGCTGCTGTTTTTGGGGTTACTAATTCGCACTACAACACCGCTCTCCCAATTGCGACAACTCATCTTTGGCTGTCCTGTCGCTCGGTCCTTGACAATGCGGCCCCTGTATGGCACAACGTAGCCGCAACCGTCAGCGTTAGATTCATGAAATCGTCACAGTTTCGTGCCGGTCATGCTGAAATTCTCCTCAAGAGGCAGCTAGTAGCGCGCTACACTATCTAAAGAACCGCACCATCGCACTGGCCGTTGATGTTCGCTCGCTTGCTGCCTTGTTGTCTCAAGTTTCCCCCATGTCTTACAGAAAAGAGGGGGTTCGATGGGGGCAGGGTCAGGGTCTCACTCACCATGCGCTTTCTGACAGATTTGCGCTGCCAATGTAGACCCAGCCAAGAGACATCTCTTCCGTTTTCGGCTCCGCGGCAGCCGGCCCTGAGTCGTGGTATCGCGGCTCCGGTCGCGTTTGCGGACGCGTTTGCAATTGACTTCCCGCTTGCATCTGTGATACCATGATCATCTTGCTGTGCATCAGGAGCCCATCTCTGGTGTTAACACAGTCCCGCACCAGCTCAGTGGGGAAGGTTGGCGAGCGCCACCATTTGGGCTGGACACAGATGGTGCCCGCAGCCTGCATCAGCGCGCTCACAAATTAGCGTTGGCTTTTCATTGCGTCTTTCTCGTCGCATGTGAGGATTCTCCAGTTTATCCAAGATCATCCATCCATGCAATGCCATGCTCCAGGTAAACTTACATTACGCCCACCTCGACTTCTGCCAACTGTCTCTTCCGTCGGAAAATATATTCGGAAACGGTCCTTTAGCTTCTCCTGCCACGGGTTTGACGCCTTATTCTTGGAGGCTGCGCCCGTTCGGCCTATTCTCGACTTATATTCGGCCATGCCATCATCTCCTGCAACTCACCACTCATCAGTCCACATCCATTACAGGCGAGTGCTATGTGTGTGGTAAACAGTAGAGGGGGGTACACAGTATCGACGTCTCCTCACCTTGACATGCATTGTAGATTGCGCCCACCAAGTCGTAGTTTAGCGACCCAAGAGAGGCGCACTGGAGTAAGGGCTCATCCGTGGTTAGAATCAATGCTCTTTGGACTGGTATGCGACTTTAATGGTACCCACGACAAAATCCACTTCGATTGGTTCGTCAGTGGCTAGCCCGAGAGCAGCCACAGTGGTGCCCAGCCCGCTGTATCCTACATGACATGAGCCGTTGTTGCACAACATTCATCGAAACTTGCACGTCCACTGACCTATTCGCTTTAAGGAATCTCCTTGATGACCACCAGGGCTAGAATCTAGTATCAGTGCATCGTTCATGCGGGTCAAGCATGATGATCATCAGACCATGCATGATCCAATCTTCAAGGTCTTGATAGGCTTACATGGTGTACACAAAGCCAAGGTGCTTTGTTTGTGAGAAGTCGTAGTTAGCGAGGCTGCTTACCATGCCCTCACCAACACCAGTTGCTGACAGGAATCGGCCGAGCTCGGTGCTGAACGCGGTTTGCCGATACGTCGCGGGGTCCTTTAAACGAGGAAGGTCGATCAGGAAGACCATCTAGAGAACTCATTAGCAATCCCGTCACGGACAGCATCAAAATCGCCTCGGTTCAGCTACAAACATTCTCCACCACGCCAGTCTCCCCCCAATCATAGGGGACGAGATTGGCAGTTGGGACCACAACTCGAAGATAGTCAGGGTACTTTAGCAACTGAAGCTTGGAATGCATAGCCCCAGGCCCATTCATTGCCGGAAAGACGAACTTGATTCCCGGTGGCGCATTCGATCGCATCTCTGATTTCTGCGGCAGGTTTCGGCGTCAGCCTCTGGGTCTTGTCCATTTGAGGGGTCCAGCGAGGGATATCCCGAACGAGTCAGGACTGGTCATTGATACACACCTGGGCTTCGCTATCGGCGAATGCCAGGAGCAACAGTTTAGTCTTTCTCGGGTCGATTTTGGACATGAGCCATTCATCATCCCACTGATACGAGCTTAGAAGAGCAAGCTCCAACTTGTCCTTCTGAAACACCTCTTCGATCTTGATATCATCGGAAGTCCGCGGATACCCTTTGGCCCAAGTTCTTTTGATAGCACCTTTGGGATAGGGAACGAAGCTCGGTAATACATGTGCCGTTGCCGTTGCGGTTACAGTCCTGGAAGGTTCGGATGGTGTCATCCTCTTTGCCGGCGGGACCTCGTCAACACTTCTTTCGTCCTCTGGCGAGCGGCGACGCTTGGCTAACCTCTGCAACCTTTCCTCTTCCATCTTCTTGCGATCGAGCGAGAGCAAACCCAAGGAAGCCCCGCCCGAGCCAGTCCCCTTCCGGTGGGATGTCGAGGTTGAGGCGCTCGGGATCTGCGAACTCTGGTCTCCCTGTTCCTCTTGTTCCTGGAGTGAAAGGGCAATAGCATAGCGTAGCGCTTCATCTTCGTCCATGTCGCTCCCCAATTCGACGGGATCCTCTCGGGACCCAGCCATCGTTGCCTTTTGACTCCAGCGGTTTTGAGAACAAGAGTTTGACCAGATCGACTGAGTTTCGGGTGACGGTTTGAGGTTGATTTTTAAAATCTGGAGTTATGGTTTAATGTTTTGGGTGTCGTTTGAGTTAAGTTATCGATTTGATATCCCTGTCTAGGATCCTTGTCTCTCCAAGGGACGTGGAAGGTGAAAACGCGGAGTCACGTGAGGCCGCGTCGCATTGATCTGCCAGTTCCTCAGCGCTAGCGCTACGCCCTAAACAGCCCAGTCCAGTCTTCTCAATTCGATCTCGACCCTGACTGATTATGATTATCAATTCTTTCACGCCAGAGCCATTTTTTGGCAGACGATCCATATCAGTCTCTTCGGCATCTGCGTGGTTCTTTTCGTTTTTAGCGGCCTGTCTACGGTCTAATGATTTCGAATAGCTAAAATGTGGGAACATAGTGACGTCTGTGAAACAGCCACCAGCTTTCCCAGTTGCGCCTCTGGTCAACACCAACCACTTACACGGCGCTATTGTACTACGACGCTGCGGTGCGGGACACCAGAATGGTCATGATACGAAAAGTACCCCGCGGCGACTGAGAATGTTCTGTATAGGCACCGTATTATGATCATAGTCGTATTGTAATCTGGAGCTCTCGTCTGAGAAGCCACTGACACGACCTCATCGCCACTTAACTCGTCTTCATCCAGATTTGGCTGCCCGTCCTCACTACCTATTCGACTATGATGCCAGGCCAATTTTCGGGGAGTTCCCAATGCCCCCCACCCCGAAATGTCCAAGTATGAGGACCTCTCGATCTAGCTTGCTGTCTCCCAGGAACTGAGCAACTGGCAGAGTCCATGTCAGCATGACCCAGCACTTTAGGGTAGGCCCGCGTTTTCCATTCTCTGATCTTCAACTGCGATGCTGGTGATCTCAACTCAAACTTACATATGCATAAAGCGAAAACCTTGAAATAACCCTGTGAAACTCTGATTCACGCAGGAGATGTTTAGATACGTTAATTATCCGATTTGCCTTTGTTCGTCATATACTACAATTGCTCTGAAGAGTTTCACAGCCAATGATATTTGCTTTCTTGCTAACAGGGTTTGAGACAAACTCAAAAGCAAGAGGACCTTAAAGGATTAGCAGATACTTCAGATATCCATGAAATATGATAGTCTGAATTGGCAACTCGGAATAAATAAAATAAACAATAATATAAGGTTCGATTTTATATCATGAGATGCAAGATCGCGAAGTTGGTGGCATGTCGATATTGCCAAATCGTGACATGAGATAAGCGGGGTCCGGGGTTCTAAACGGGGTTTCACAACTTTGCTCCAACTACATCGCCAGAATAACCAAACAAGATTATATCTTCCCGGGAGCAATTGAGCGACTGACGAGAGGGTTTGGGCAGCGCCCGTTTTCGAAAAGGACAAGACAAGCGCAGAGATGAGTCTCTCTGCCAGATTGGCTTGGCGGGCGACGACGAGTTGTACTGCGAGGTCAATACCTGCTCTCGTGAGGTCCGCTCCAAGACCCACGATAGCATCAACCCCGCGATGTCTCTTCTTCACAAAGGCCCAGTCATGGTTGGATCATAAGGCCCAACAAAAAGGGCTGGAGGAGAAGCCTGTTGGGTGAGTACAAGGCCCAGTTATACCGATTGACTGTATTGTACTGAGCCATTGTACATAGGTCTCGACCTGTGATACAGCACGATAATGATACCAATCCGCCACGCCCTGCTGCCGTCCTGCACGAAGACATTTACACGCTGCCCAACATATTAACCTTCACACGTCTCGTCGCTGCACCGGTCATTGGCTACCTCGTTCTTCACGACCAGCACGCATGGGCCGTCGGCCTCTTTGCCTATGCGGGCGTAACAGATCTCCTCGACGGATGGATCGCGCGTCGCTGGGACAGCAAGACAGTCGTGGGCACAGTCATTGATCCAATGGCAGACAAAACCCTCATGACCATTCTGACCATTTGTCTGGCTGCTAAGGGCGCGTTGCCGAGTGCGTTCATGCTCCCTCGTGACCCTTGATAACCCAAAAGCTAATGTGTAAAAAGTTTGGTGCGCTGGCATCATCCTGGGTCGTGATGTCGGCCTCGCTATCTCTGCAATTTACTATCGATGGATATCTCTTCCGCCACCAAAGACATTTGCCCGATATTGGGACTTCTCACTCCCATCAGCTGAAGTTCGCCCCACGACTATCAGCAAGTACAACACCTTCTTGCAACTTGCGCTCGTCGGAGTCACGACAGCTGCGCCCCTTTTGAGCACCGACTTGTCATCTGCCCTGACAGTCATGCAGTAAGTTCAACTATATTGACTTTCCGTAACTCTCATCCTAAAAGTAACCAGATACGTCGTTGCTGCTACCACCATATGGAGCGGTGCAAGCTATATCTACACAAAGGATGCAGTAAAAATCCTTAATAAGCAGAACTCTAAAAAACCCTGATTTGATATCGTCGTTCAAAGTCTATCAAGCGGCAGATCACGATAGTAACAGAAGAGGCCACAAATTCGGCTTCACCTAACGCGGCCCGAGCCTAGGGTCATCCAGAAAGCAGGAATCGCAAGGTTTGAACGAAAAGACAAAATTCGAACAACAAGACAAAGTTCAGCAAGGTTTTCCAAAACCTTGAGCTTGAGCTTGAGCTTGAGCATCTTGTATATACCCCCTTTATGTACAAACACTATCGTCGATGATGATAGAACAAATCTTAAACTGCATATTTGAACTCTCGGACTCGAATTCCCAATGAGACGATAATGCTGAGATTGTGGCAGAAATATTTGACTTTTGAAGGCTCTACTTAAAACCTCTCTTGTTCCCCCCTAGACACCTTATTCAATGAAACGCCAGTTATATGCGATTGATCCCAATTAACCTATACACTGCCTCAATTCTTATTCGTCCTTTGTGTCCGGCGCCCGCGTGAAGGATCCTTCTCCAACAAGTATGCTTCAGGCCTTCGACGAACGTGAGCGAGTAGACGTAAACTGCCCGACGGAGTCACACCCTCGACATGCCTCGCCTGTGCGAGATTCTCTGGTTTCGCTGCCCTGAGCGCCTCCTTCTCTGACATAGCAAGCCCAGGGATATTGTCATAGTTGAGATCGAGGGGTATCTTGACGCGCTCATCGTTTGTTAGCTGCTTGCGCTCTGACTCGGCGATTTTGATATACGGAGCGTAAAAGGACTCGATTTCAACACGACGTCGTATGCGAGGTGGAAAGTCCATTACGCTTGGGATGACTGGTGCAAGCCGATCGATGTTGACGCGTGTTTCAGGGTTTGAGAGACGAAGGACATCGATACCATCGCGACGTTGAGTGTTGCGCTTCATATGATACCCCTTTTCAATCCATTGTAAGGGGCTCATTGCTACTGACTGTAAGAGTTTGGTAAGGTCATCAACCTGCTGTCGCTCATCACGATAACGACTCCAACGCTGCTCCGAAATGACACCCCACCCATAGCCCTTGGACGTCAGTCGAACATCGGCGTTGTCAGCGCGTGCTGACATGCGGAATTCACTTCGGGAGGTAAACATCCGGTAAGGTTCCGTGACACCTTTCGTGATAAGGTCATCCACCATGATGCCAATGTACCCATCCCCTCTTGAGAGAAAAACTTGCGGAAGCCCCTGAGAAGAACGACCGGCGTTAATGCCCGCAAGGACACCTTGACCAGCAGCCTCCTCATACCCAGTCGTGCCATTGATTTGACCAGCCAGGTACAGACCGCTGATAGCTTTTGTCTCCAGGGTCGACTTCAGGCCACGTGGATCGATGTAGTCATATTCAACACCGTACCCGGGCTGAAGCATTTTTGAGTTCTCGAGACCTGGGATTGTGCGCAAGACCTCCTCCTGCGCCTCAGCAGGAATCGTCATGGACAAACCATTGGGGTAGATGACAGGGCTGTCCAAACCTTCGGGCTCGAGCCAAACTATGTGTCGTTCCTTGTCGGCGAAGCGAATGACTTTTGACTCGAGAGAGGGGCAGTACCGTGGGCCTTTGACTGTCTCTCGAATGTGTATGGTCTTATCAAGGTTTTCACGCACTATCCGGTGAGTATCCTCCGTCGTGTACGTAACACTGCAAGTCATCTGCTCCTGAATCGCCACAGTTTCGTTGAGGTAACTGAATGGTGTTGGTGGGTCATCGCCATACTGCTTCTCCAGCACATCATAGTTTATGCTCGCTGCGTCGATTCGGGGGGGTGTGCCAGTCTTGAGGCGTCCCAGCTCGAAGCCCGCATCACGCAGTGACTTGCTCAGTCCGAATGTCGCCGCCTCACCGAGTCGACCAGCTGGATACGCCGTCAGACCGATGTGTATTTCGCCTCCGAGAAATGTCCCCGTTGTTATGACAACCTTTTTTGTTGGGAGAATTTGACCGGACTCTAGACGCACGCCTGCGATGCAACTTGACGCGCCTTCGAATAATTCCTGAGGCTCGGTGACGATATCGGACACGCTGTCGAGTACGATCGATAGGTTGGGATACGAAGAGAGTTCGTCCTTCATGTGTTTCTTGTAGAGCTCTCGGTCGATTTGAGCGCGGGGTCCCTATCTCCAATTTCATTAGTCACTGATTATTCCGACAACGAATCCGAAGAGTCGACGAACCCAGACAGCAGCGCCTTTTCGCCGATTCAGAGTATGAAACTGTACACCTGATTTGTCGATAATTCTCCCCGCCAATCCATCGAGCGCATCGATCTCTCGGATTATTGTGCCCTTGCCGATGCCGCCGAAACTTGGGTTACAGGAACACGTTCCCAAATTGTCGATTTTCGGCGTTACCAAAGCTGTTCTTGCGCCAGATCGTGCAGCAGCAGTGCATGCTTCAGCGCCCGCGTGGCCGCCTCCGATTACGACGACATCGTAAGGTCTAGGGCGGGATGTCAGTGATGATTTGCGATGCGATGGGTGTCATGACGACGAGATATTGTTTACTGAAACATACTGTAAATCACCGGAAACAGTCGCAAGGTACCGCCGTCTTGTAATTGTCCATTTATGCCGTAGTATGGCTGTCCTAGGTCTTAGTAGCGCACGCATTTCATGTCGTTGTCGTTGTAAAATTTGCTCTCATGACGAGATCAATGTCCAAATTTTGGGTGTTCACACCAGAAAGTACGGTTTTAGTTAATGCATTTCATCCAATCAGGTTACAAATTGGCGTTCCCTCACCCACATCAGCAATTCATCATGATACGTCCTGGCAATAGACAGTAAATTTAGGTACAATTCATGGTTGACATTATCTGTATTGATCTAAAATGGCTCAAAATCGTCGCTGCAATTGATACTATCTCTCATATGACCATAATCTCTACCTCCTACCTCGGCTCTCTGGCCATGAACTGACAGCATCATCCACCTCTTCCAAGAATGTCGCCGAGTTGTGAATCGTTGTACCCCCTAAAACTACTCTGACGCCTGGACTCGACGCGTTCAATTCTGCAATCATCTTGGCTTCCTCATAAGTCGCACCCCCAACGATGAATACGATTATGTCCTGAGGTTTGTCCTTGGTCGTGCCACCACCTTCGACGAAGGGGTATTGCTGATCCTTGAGTCGCCCTTTGATCAAGTTCTGTAGGGTAGTCTCCAACAATGGGCTGTGTTGCGTATAGACGTTTTCTACTCCCTTGAGGCCTTTGAAGCGGCTGCCAGTACCGGAGAAAATGCCTGCGGATTCGAAGATTTCTGAAATTCCGCCCTGAGACTGTGACGCTTGAAGGGAGTTGTGATACGCCGTCACCTTGCTGACCAAATCTGCCTCTCGCGGAGACACGTTTCCGGCAGCGACAAGGAGGTCTTGAAGCATGGGCAAAGTGTTGGAAGGATGTTTGTGATAGCGGAGAGCGTACAAAGCTACAAGGCCAACCTTACTTTCTGGTGTAACGTTCGGTGATTGAATGAGTCGCTGAATATTCTATGAATCGTGTTAGCTCATGCTCAAGGCTCCAACAAGAGGACAGGCAATACCTTTACATCAGTCCCGTGGTTGTCGTTGCAAGCCAGACTTTGTTCCAGCTCACTAACCTCTAGGAGGTTATCGGCAGCTACACGTCTGCTAAGTTCTGATACCAGGGTAACATGCTTGCTGACGTTGCCAGAAAGCTTTCTGAATTCTGGATATTCTTCGATAAATCGCTTCATATCCGATATTGACTCGATGTTCTCATTGTTCTTGGTTTTCGACTGGAATTGGCCAACATATTCCTTGATGTTGCCTCCAAGGTCGCCAAAGTTCAGAAACATATTCTTTTTGAAGAATGGATCCTGATCCTGTGATAGAACGATCTCCTTTTGCTCTGGGCTAATATCTGGAACATCGCTTAGATCGACACGCCCATTCTGAATACCCAAGAGATGGTGGACCATGGCTTGATATGTCCATTGTGTGAGTAGTGGTGTCACCGGATCTTCCCGGCGATCCAACACAAGCAGAATGGGAGGAGTATCAACTTTTCGGAAGTCAAACAATGAATCCTCTTGGGTCATCAAATATCGGACCTCTGACGCGAGCTTCTTCGCTAGGGGGCTTGTCTTCTGGTATCTAATGAGGGGCTTTTTCTTGAGTGAGAGTAAGACAGCGACTAAGCCCTCTGAGCATCGCTGTAATGAGTCAGGATTCCATGTATCAGGACTCCCTGCACAGATTCTCTGTTGTGGAAGAGTAAAACTGAAAGAAAAGAGATCAGGGTTGATGACATTGTAATCAGCAAAGTGCTCTTGGACCAGTTTGACCACCTCATGGTCATCAGCCTCAGCTAAGCGTTCCAAGGACGACTTCTTGACAACATTTGTGAAGTACAAGTGATACTCGCCATATTTCGGATCACGAAGCTCATCTATGAGTAGTTGAATTGATTCCGGCGATGGCCGCACGAAAGATAGACATCGTAGGTGTCGCATCTTCTCACGCGCAGCATTGTCCAGACGATCGATGAGATAGACCTCATGGTTGAGAAGAGAAGACTGTGTGACCGCAGTCGAGACGATAGAAACTGTTTCTCTATCGAGTAAGAGAATTTTCATCTTGGCAGACGACGTATCACTCGTCGTAACCACCTTATTGATGTACCCAGATACTGCTTGGGCAACGTCCATGTTGATGGATGAGGCTCACCGGGGCCGCGTAACGTGCTATTCCCGGGCTGCTATATGAGGTCTTTATGAGTGCAAGTGTCGTGCAGTGAGAGATACCAGGTATTTCAGTGGTATTCAGGGCTGTGATTCAGAGAACTTCTTGTTGATGATTGATGTTACGGACAGGGAGACCTCTAAGATGCCACTGCCACTGTAGGTGCTGTAGGTGAGCGCCCCACAACCTTGAAAGTCTGGCCTGAATGCCTTACATAATACAAGAGCTACCCGCGCTACCAACCTCAACCTCATCATGATAGCTCTCAGTGACATCAGTGAGATCATTGCCCGCAAGAGCTGAAATGTTATCTATACCTTCTTGATCACCTAAGCTTGGAGCTTCCAGTATAAACAGAGCGCAGCGGCTTTGAGTAGCATCTAACACCTCACTCTGCAATCATGGAAGCAGATACCTGTCCCCGGCTGATAGAGCCGACGTAAGTGAATCAAAGAATCCTGCATCATGAGAAGTCCTTACCAAAGCTGACTGATACTCTGATAGTCTATCCTTTACGCAAGGTCTTATAGTCGGACAGCTCTCCGTGGTTCTGGTACTGGCCGCATTCATCAAATTCTTCATCTTTGGCGATCCTCCTTCAGCAGACGTCACAGCTTCACTACGAGCTACCGAGAGACGGTCAAGAACTCTTGCTCACAAGCGCTCATTACTAAGTGTCAGGAGCCCGGCAAACCGTGGAGATAGATCTCAGGACAGATCTCTCAGCCGTAAGAAGTCCACTGTCCTCAGGAACCCTCCAACACTTACCATTGGATCGATCCTGAGTAAAGCGTACTACAATGTCGACAGCCATCAGCCTGAAAGTCTCGATTGGTTTAATGTTCTCATTGCGCAAACGATTGCTCAGTTTCGAAGTGATGCTCAGCATGACGATGCCATTCTTGATTCACTCACCAAGGCATTGAACGGCGATTCAAGGCCGGATTTCATTGACGAGATTCGGGTCACAGAGTTGAGTCTAGGAGAAGACTTTCCGATCCTGAGCAATTGCCGTATTATTCCTGTCGACGAAGATGGAGTGAGTCTTGCTCCTGGAAAGAAGTTTGATCCGGCAACGGCAGCAAGAGACGGCCTACGGCTCCAGGCGCGTATGGACGTCGACCTGAGCGACATGCTTACTCTGGCCGTGAGGACAAAACTCATCCTTAACTATCCCAAGAAGCTTTCTGCGGTTCTACCCGTGGAACTGGCTGTTTCGGTGATCAGGTTTAGTGGCACTCTTTCCATCTCCTTCATTCCCAGCAACCCCTCTCAATCGACACCCACACGGATGATCTTCAACTTCTTGGACGACTACAGACTGGATTTTGAAATTCGAAGCCTTCTCGGCAGTCGTTCCAAACTACACAACGTACCCAAGATTGCTCAACTTGTCGAGGCACGCCTTCACCGTTGGTTTGATGAGCGAGCTGTTGAGCCTCGATTCCAGGAAATTGCCCTTCCGAGTCTTTGGCCGAGAAAGAAGAACACAAGAGGTCCCGAGGATGCGTCAACTGAGAGAAGCGAATCTATCGGTCGATCAAGGGGTAACGATGCTGGCCGGGATCACCGAGAAGAGATACGTGGACGAGGAGGAGACGCAGAGATTAGAGATCGAGGAGCCGGAGGGACAGTTCGGCATCGACGAGGGACGAGAAGCAATGACAGCGATGACTTCTCGATGCCAGGATCATTGCCTGATTTCCAGGTCGCGGCCTCATAATTAGATACCTAGTCAGGCTTTGTAAACGAAATAAAAGCTCTACTCATTCCATCCTGAAACAACATTTCGGTTCTCCCGGACTTTAGTAGACCAGATGACGATCGAATTGTGTTGACTATTCCATCACCTGAATACTGTTTTCATGCACAGACAATGATGCTACTGCTAGTCCCCGTGCTCATGTAGGTCATTTAGCTTAACATTTCAGATGGGGCCGTAGCGTGGTCTGTGAGAGGGCCATCTCATTTGTGCATACGATATTCAACAATTCGATTGTGAAATGCATGAAGTAGACAATCTTAGAACTTGGCCAGCGCCATCGGTGTCTCGGTCAACGAGTACAAATTCTGCCACCAAGCAACTAAGCCGCCCACCAAAAGTACGTAATAAACACCAGTCCACATCTTTCTAGACGAGGCTACGGACGGATCACCCTCTGGCAGCCAGTAAGGATCAAGCTGGCCCCAAAGACGTGGGAGACCCATGCAGTTGCAAAAGGTGTGCACGAGCACAACGGCCAGCAAGCTGCCAGTTCTTAGGAATAAGAAAGTGGCATACGCTCCGAATAGGGAGGTGTACGATAGCTGAAGTAATGACCGTGCAATGGCTATGGGGAGAGGAGTCCGTGGGTGCGTGATACGGAACTCATAAAAATGATGAAGGTGAGCTAGACCGAAGATGAGGGGCGACATGAAGATGGTGCCAGTAAGGCTGGCTCCAGAACGGAGAAGCAGTGGAACGCCAGCAGAACGGAACAAGCACTCTTCCGTAATAGGACCCTTTAGAATAATTAGTAAACATGGATTGCGGAGCGGTGAGATGACGAGGAGGCTCAAGACGAGATAACTGTGGGGATAAGAGATTGACAGGGTGAATATGAAGGAATCTACAGCGAGATCAAACAGTTTCAGGATAAACGTACCGCTACCATGTTTCTCCAGGTTGGCCAGTCAGTCCACAGATCCCTCAGAGGCTGAAGACGAAGCCATTGATGAGCCGCGCCATCGATGACGAGAGACTCATACAAGGGGCCCGCAAACAGCAGGGCCGTGAGCCACAGCGCACGCGCAGCATCGATGAGTCCAGGCGGCCAGTAGCCCATGAAATGCAAGGGCTTCTCAACGGCAATTGCGCCGTGAGACGAGAGCAGATACAGCGTCATGAGGGAGCATACTGCCGTTGAGAGTGAGACGACAAAGATGCGTGCGCGGATAGCCTCAGGAGCATCTCTAGAGCGAGTGGGTGAAGGCCGTGTCGCAGCTGAGAAGTAGAGAGGGATTACGTAGACGAGACAATAGACGACCTTTGGGTGAATGTTAGCACATTTCAATGAACTGATGAGACGAGGCTGAGTATGAGTTTTATGGAGATTGTGATGCGAGGCTCACCAGTAAGGCTACGGCTTGAGGCGGTGCGAACCCCGCAGAGCTCAAGACAGACATTGCAATGTTGTCAAAACTGAAGATTCGAGTTTGAAGAAGGATGAGAATATGAACTGTCTCAGTCGCAAGGTGAAGAAGTGAAGAAGTCAACGAGGCTCAAAGAGGTTGAGCTAAAAAGACACTTGCGGGAATATTCCATGGGGCAAACAAAGTCAAGTCAGCAAAACGGTGGCTCTTGTCAGAGAATGAAAGAAGTCATCCAAGGAGATAACCAAGTAAAACTGCTGCTTAAGGAAATAAAAGCCGAAAAAAATGAAGCCCTCACCAGCCACAAACTGGGTAACTCCTATTGTCCAAACCCATTGTCCTTGTTGGTTGCGTCTTCAGTTTCGCTGACTCAGAAATCCAAGAATAACTATTTCTCACTCGTTGGGCCTTAAAAAAACTAAAACAGAAAAATTATGCTGGACACTTCTCCTCCACAAGGTCTTGCTCGTCTTCATTTTACTCTGCATATCGCTTCATGGGTTGTATGCACTATTGCATGCGGTGAGCTGCACGGCACAAGAGTTATTGAACGAAGCGAAATGATGTGGAGAGAGTATAAAACATCTCATAACCTGAGAACAAGACACGAATGCAGGGTCAAAACCGGCTAAACGACCAAACTAAACTGTTATTTGTTATTGTGAAGATGCAAAATATTCATCGACACTCGTGCATGACTAGAATGCATCAAAGTCTTGAATATCTCGGCTAGTTAAACTTGACTTTTTCCCATGCTCAGCCACGATCTAGACACTCCAGGATATCCCTTTTGCTTGCATGGCAAGGCCATGAATCAAGAGGCCCCCCAATGAGCAACGGTACCTGCATTAGTTAGGTCCAGCGGGACTTCGGTGCTAAGAACAGAGGAGAGGCGGTGATGGCTCTGGTTGGATCCCCAAGAACCGGATGATCGTCTGGAAGACGCGATGATCAGAGCTAACATCTACCCGTACCGACTATGAGTGAGCTGGTGACATTGCGGAGGCACATGGAAAAGGAGATGAACCCATTTTCGCTATCGCAGAAGGGGTCATGATGAGACCATGGTAACGTTGGCAGTCTCAACTTTTGTTCTCCTTGGACGATAAGAGAAGGTGAAAATGATGAGTATCTTGAAAGTTGACTGCAATTGTTCGGAAAGGCAGCCTCATGTCACCCTCCGAAACTTCAGGAGCCAGTAGCTTCAACCCCTTGTCCCGGAACAGATCGAAGCGGCTCAAAAAGCCCATGTAAGCCGAATGCTAAAGATAACATACATCCACGCGATTCAATGAGCAGACAACGCGAGCTTGACACGTTGAAAAGGCACATGTAAGATTGCGCGCGCCAACGGCTCGAAGCTTAAAAGATGTCTGGTTACATCGCCGACTGTCTTTGAGGAATGGCTTTCGCTACCCCAAACGCAGAGCCAAAGAGTTCTGTAGACCTCGAAGCGACCAAGTGGAGGGAATTTGGATGTTTTGACCTTTCTGCAGGTCTTGGTTTCGAGAAGCGCTGTTTCTCTGCAGGTAAACTGGAACTGGCGCAAAGACAGAACTCTGATCCAGATGAAGGTACACCAATATGCACTGAGCCTGTTAGTCAAGAGATGTATCTTGCCAGCTCAGAGTAACCGGAACACTTTAGGTAAAACAAGCGCCTGGAAGAAAACATCATAGGCGGCCGAAAAAGTGACCTTCAAGGACAGCTGTACTCGAGTAACTGCATTTCGCAGGTTGAACGCTTAATTCTTCCAGAATTCCATCCGATTGAATGGCTGGTGATAGCTGAACCTGTCCATTGATTCTGCAGTCGTCTCATACAGACTCTGTACGTGCTTCACCATATCCAGGATCAACACCACTGGTGACCTGCCACCTGGCAGAGGTGGTCCAGTAATTTCTTCAGACCATGTCTCTTCTGAAGTGGAGGAGAAAAGCTGAAGACCCTGATCCTAAGCGACAGAAAGACTGGGGTAGATTTATCATAAGTTTAGGAGAGTCCTTGATGGGCTAATTTTGGCATCCTATTTCGAGGTACAAAGTTTTCTTGTTGCCCAAGGGCTTGCTCAAGGTATCCAAGTCTTGTCTTGGAGCAAGACAGATGCTATTGGTATCTTACGATACAACATAGCCGGAGCTATTGCCAATTGGACGACACACACGAAAAGGCTCCCCGCAATAGCGTCGATAGTGCAGTCCAACCAGTTCCAGTTCACAGATCCGATCCACAACGGCACAACCCCAAGTGCAGTTCCTAAAAGTTGAAGGTGTGTTGAGGGGGACAAATCAGAGCTCAGAATAAGTCTAGAAGACAAGTCTCGAGATTATTCCTTTTCTTCTCACTGAGATGATTCGTTCTCTTCTCTCTTGCCTGAATTATGCTCAAGTTGTGAAAATCTTTGTGCTCACTCTCAACCCTGTTTCGTCAAAGTTGCGGTGTCTTTCCATGCCCTGTTCTCTTTTTTTCAGTCCTCAGCGTCAGAGCGCCCCTATCTCCCTCAGGTCTCCTAGCTCGACCAAAAACCCCTGTCCTTCAACGGTCCCATCGTCGCCGCGCCCCGTCTGCAGGGGCAACCCTGCTGCAGCGAAGGTAATATCCCAAGGCCGCTAGTCGCAGAATGGCGCTTGCAATCACTGGCTGATATGTTTTTGCCCAGTACACGTCAATGATCCAATGCGAATTGCTTGTGTCAAGAGTCTCTGTAAGGGTGAGAGGTTGTGAGGTCTGTGTGCTCGGGTCGTTCCATACCCTCGTCGTTCGTCTGGTCCTGGATTCTTTAGTCATTATTACCGCAAGAGTTAGGCTGTGCCTTGGACAAGGTAGTACTGCTGCTACTGTAAGACCAGCAAAAACAGAAGCTGGAATACCCACAGTACAGCTTGTCCACCTTCCAAGGTTCAGCCTCCAGGTCAAGTTTAGCAGGAAGCAGGCACGTAGGCCGCTACTCCTGCCGCCGTTGGTCGCATGTAGAGGGACCGTTGCTTCCCTTTTAGCTAACTTACCCGCCGTCCCTTCCCCATGATCTTGTCTTTCTCTTTCCGCCTCTCGTTTCGTGCTTTTCCAACCAAACTACATACCCTCGCTATAATCGGCCACTGGCCAGTCACTCATTCAAGCCTTTGATATTCAACACACTCTTTATCTGGACTCATTAGTCGTTAATTGTTGTTCTTGTCTTGCTCTTCTTCTTTTTGGTTCCTTCCAATTTTGGTAATTAATTCTTCAATTGGTATATCGAACGAGTCTTTTTTCCTCTCACGGCCGAAACACCAACGATCCACCTCGCGACAACTCGATCTACCCCGGCTCGTTTCGCATTGGATTGCTTGGTCTCTGCTTGATCCTATTCCTTGGAACATTGGACGCTTCAATAATATCGTCGCTTTTGTTTTGGTGGTTTTTAATATCTTTGCCATTGTCCGAGTCCCCCGGCCGTGGCCCTTGTGACGACCTCCGAGTTCATTGACCCACCTCCGGCCCCGACCGAGTTCGACTTTGACAGCCTGATATTATTCGAGATCTCGATCTTGAACTGAATTGCATTGCCAATTTCGAGGGCAATCGTTTTTTGGAAGTTGTTTTTGGTCTCCTGATGTCCTGGAACTCACAGCTACTATCGCCTCGTGCATAGAGCATGTCGGTCTCACCGTCGAGCTCTCTGCCGCGTAAGGCATTACATGAGCGTAGTAACTCTCAGAACAACTCTCAGAATAACCGTCTCGGAATCCGGGTCGTCCCTTACAGCCCTCCGCGGGTTGCCTCAGATGGTACCGTCACATCAAAGACAGTCACTTACGCTGATGCGAGTACCGAGACCGATTCAGAGCTTGCTCAGACACATGGCTCCCCGACACATTCCTCCGATTCTCAGTTTGAAACGCCATCACCATCCCTGCAGAGGGCCCGGACTCGAAGTATAGTGCTTTCTCCATCGCCATTAAAGCGCCCTACTCGATACCCATCCTCCGAATTCGACCATAACCCTGCACCCTGGTTGCCCCATTATGATACCGATGCTGATGATCATACTTCTTATGCTTCACGCCCACCTTCCCGGGAACCCTCAACTTCACCAAGACCTCCTTCTCGCAAAAGGGTCATTAATGTTCACGCCGATAAGACCTTCTCCATACTTCCTCAAGATGCTTCTATGTCGTCAAGGGTCGAATCTCTCTGGTCTCTTCCCCCATCTTTCACCACCGGTAACACATCTTATGGTCGAGGATCAATGGGTACATACAGTGATGATCGTCAGAGCCGTCCAGCCTCGCCTATGACTCCTCTCACAGAACGAAACGCTAGTTCTCCAGTTATTTCGCCTCGGCCTCGAGATCCGTCCACCCCGGACAACTCAAACTCATCGCCATGGAACTATCGTTTGTTTGGGGGTCTTCGTAAAGTACCTAAAACACCTGACGTGAAGCAAAAACAGCCGCAGAGTCGAGACGCTCCACCCGAGTTGCCTCTGCCCACGCTGCCAGAGGTTGATCTGCCTGTTCATGAGGCTGGTCCTTCTCAGTGGCTCACTCAAAAGACATCCTTTCAATCTTCACTATCCGAACAAACCAGATCAACGTTCTCTGAGAGAACCAACGTCAAAACATATGGATTCAGCTCTCCCATGAATGTAGCAGACCTAAATAGTCTGCCACCTTCATCGATCCATTCCAATATTGAGCTACTCGGGGACCCTTCCTCAGCTGAGGCTTCTTTGCATATCAGCACTCGTCCACAAACCGAGGACAGCAACGTTAACGTCGTAACATATGGTGGTCACTCAGCTTCTTCCTCTGTTGTCGCCGTCAGGAATCGCGTGAGACCCGAATTTTCACAAGAAAGCTTGATTGTTCCTCCATTGCAGCCAAGGAAAAGGAGATCCTCAGACAGCTTTGCTCTCGCCAAGTCCCGCTCTCGCGAAACTCTGCGATCCCGATCTGCATCGATCACGTCGTTATCGACCATCTTCACCCAAGAGGCTACCCGGGCCCTTTTTGTTGGACCCCCGACAATTTTGCAACACGCTGGTCCATCTTGGCCAGACCTTCAGAACCGACCTCAAGCGCGCCCTCACCAATGGAGTGGTCAGTTGTCAACAGTGATGTCAGAAAGCGAAGGAGGCAGTGAGCCTGCATCTCGAGCTCTCTCACTCTCTTCCGTCCCAGGTCGACGTGGTAGTGGGGTTGGAAGCAGTCACAGCAAGCATGTACTAAGTATGGCGTCCTCACTTTTCGGTCTTGAGGAGCACGTCGAAACCCCGTCCCACTCAAGAAGCAATTCATTGGAATCTCCCGCAGCGACGTACACGCGAAGCATGCCCCGCGACCCAGCAACTGGTACTATCCGCCTAGTTCGTGATCACGATGAGGATGGCGATGGTCTGGCTGATTTAGAAGTCTACCATCATCCCTCGTCCCGGTCGCGAATGGGGAGGTTTTTGTCAAGCTATTCTTCTGATCGTAGTCTGCGATCGACTGCCAG